TAAACTATTATCCAATCACGAAAGACTAAGGGTTGACCCTGAAACTTCGATGGTGTCAACCGCGTGAAACGCGCAGTACCATAGATCCGGTTTGTGTGACGTATTAATATGTAAAAATGAGACCGGCTTGAAAAAATATGTAAATTAGATAAATTTTGGTTGTCGTGGGCCCAAGACGACCAACTTTTATGTACTAATTTACATATTTTTTTATTGGAATCCTTGAGTTAGATTTTTAGTGTGACTGGGGGCATTCGCACTAGATGATATGGGAGCTATGCGCCATACGGATTCCAAATTCCGAAAATGGGGGGAAAATATGCAAGTTGAGCTGGCAGTCTGTGTCTTCTGTACCACTGAAAGCGATTCCCGCTGACATAAACCGAAATATGTTTGCGGGAATCACCCATTCACTATGTACTCGTGATTTAGGCTCACAATAATAATATCGATTGTTGACGAAGCACAAGTAAATTACGTACGTGCCGGTATGTTGTGTTCCAGCGACTGAGTTGATCCTTCGTGTTCGAAAGATTTCCCAGCACAACACTTCGACGTAATCACAAAAACTGTTTCACCCTCTTCAAGACTTACAGTAATTGAGATTTAGTCTTCTTGTTTCTTGTACTGTATCGGATCATTCCGGTTGACATACTACCATTACATTTATGAGAATAACTTTTACAGCGCATTTTTTTCATGGTAGTCGAGACGCAGGCAAGATATTTTTATGTTTATGGGAGTGTACAAAGTCAACACATTAAACAATTTTTCGAATTGAAAGTGCCTTAAGTTTTCTTGTTGAAAAGCTACTGTACAGTAGGGATAACCCGTAACAAAATAAATACTACTAATATTAATCACTCTACTAAAAAATAAATAAAAACGTCGTACGGTACGTACCAGTACTGTAGAGTGGAGTTGCCTTTTAACTCGTTTCGTACCAGCCAAGTCAGGATATGATTATTTAATGCACCGAAGTAAAGAAAATACGTGAGGAAGTACGAGTAAGTATGGTACAACAATACGAGTACCGAATTTGTTCATCCCATCAAATTACTTGAGTTTTTTCTGCTGTTATATTTCCCGTTGTAAAATCATAATCGATTAGTCATAGGAAAGATAACTCAGAAACAAGCTTAGAAGGATAGACGACGAGGTATGAGATTGCATGAAAGCACTCACCCCTAACAATCCCGATGATGCACCGTGCTCCTTCTAGAGGTGATTCGGAACAGGCACGACAAGCACAAGCCCCCCCGTGGGGATATGTCGATAATCCTGCGGAAGTCAACAATTTCCTCTCCCAGGAACATCTCCTGGAGCTGAGTTACACCGACATCCGTAATCTGTCGTCCATAGAGGAAAGTGACAGCAATCGCAACAAGCGGGAGAAAAATGCCMACGACAAGGTCGAAGACCTTCTCTCGAAAAAGATGCTGCAGACATCCCTCGAAGACAGAAATGCCATTGTCGGAGAAATTCACGGCATTCAGAACCTCGCCCCGGAAGAATCGTCCGAAATGATAGATGCAGCGCTGAGCGAACTCGATCAGGAGATCTCGAATGTTCCACCCCGATCGAGGCAGTCATTCGATCGTTCCCAGGATATAGCACCTAACGGTTACATCAACAGCTCGGAGTTTCGTCTGCGGTTCTTGCGCTGTGAGCTTTTCGATGCAAAACGGGCTGCTAATCGGATGGTTCAGTTTCTCGATGTACTATCGGAACTTTTCGGAGACGTTGTCTTGAAACGGCCAGTAATGATGAAGGACTTTTCGAAGGAGGAGATGCAGGCCTTTCGGGTCGGCCATCAGCAGCTTTTGCCATATCGGGATCGAAGTGGGAGACGGGTCTTTGCTTGTGTAGGTGGTGTGGGACTCGATGTTCCACTGTTGACTCGAGTGAGTAATTTCAACGTATACTCATAAGTTTGAAATGGAATAAAACTGATGTCAGGCAGGACATTATCGAACTCACATTATCTTGCGTCAATTGATCCCATGTAACTTTCGACTGATGCCACCAAACCTCCCCCCCCTTAAAAAGGTAAAAATTCTTATTTATATCATTCTTGCTGCATCAGAGGATGTGGAAACCCAGAGGAAGGGCATCATCTCTGTTATTTGGCCCGGGACCAATACTCCTTCGGCAGACAAGAAAAGTAATGTGAAACTTGACCGGATCATGTTCATGAAGCGAATCTACGGGAATTTGCCATTAAGAACGTGCTCCATCCACTTTTGTTCGCCTAGCAATGAATTGAACACTCCGTTCTTGAGAGTCTTTCGAACACTCACTATTCTGACGATGCCCCACTACTTGGGACGGCTAAAATTCCATGCTGGCCAACCCATAGAACTCTTGTACTCCCTGAAAACATTCGGGATTCCAGCGGAACTCATCCCAATCACAGATACTGGAAATATAAAGACGATTTATTTAAAGCAATGGATGAAACTCCGACGCATTATAGATAATGCACAAGAATTAAGTGACCATGCTAAAATGGCCCTGAATTTCATCGAGTGCCCGGGATTGAATGACGTAATATTTCGAACAGGAACTTCCCTCTACTGCCACCCAGGAAACGTCCGATTCCGTTGCCTCATGGAACAAAAACACGAGATTCCGTCTTACATCATTCAGAAAACTCGGTCGGAATTGGCCGCGCAGATTATTGAGGAAACCGAGGCCGAGGGAGGAAAATTTCTGAAGTGGGACCAAAGGAATATGTACTGGACGCCAATTGAACAATCGCAGGTTCAGAACAAGGTGCTTTTGGCAATACGAGATTTCAAGTACAAGAGCAAGATCAAGCGAGCCCATCTGGAGGCGAATCAAGACAAGTCATTTATGTTCTTGAATGGAGAGGAGCATAATGCCAATGAAATGTGTTTCGGAACAACATTTAGTGAACTGAGCGAAAGATAGTAACGATATGTAGCTCTCTGTTTATCAGTCCATGCCTCTAGATTCTCCTCCTCTCCTATGATAGTTAGTACTTCTACGTGACTTAAAAAATTAATTTGCTAATGTTCACAAAACTAAACTCGTTGGAATCAGGCAATCGCGATTGCACAAGTATGTTGAGACACAACACTCTTTGAGTAATAGGTACGCATGGTAGTAGCGTTCATTCTGTGAACTTCATAAGACTTTTCTTTATTTGCCTGTTTGCTCACACAAGGGACCATCCGCATTGCACCCTGGCATTACTCTCAAGATGCTAATAACTAGGTGAGGTTAGAGTAGTTATTCTCAAGCACATCATTGGAAGGTTGATGTGTAACATTTTCCTTCAAGCTGATTTGAAAGTTGTTGCCTCAGGGATTATATGTTAGTTCAGCACTAGGTGATATACTATTATTGCTAAAAATCATTCTAACACACCAATGTTAATAAGTTATGGATACATGTTCAACAACAAGCAACTGATCTTAATGGTTTGAGTGAATCTCTTGCTCTAAGAGGATAATTAACTTGTGAAACAATTGAGTTTTTTTCCTAGTACCAGTAAGCAAAAATGATGCAAGAGGGAAATCCAAATAATACTAGTACTAGGTACTGCTATATATGAAGAGAAAATCCAACAAATATCTATCCATTCTCTCTTTATCATACTATTGGTGGTGATGCAGCAAAAACTGTTTAAAACAGGTTTGGATTGGTGACAGAGTAGTAAAGATACTGATGATATGGTTTTTCTAAAGGGAATGATTGCATTCTGTACAACACAAACATTAAAGAGAGACTTCTGCCACTTGGTCCTCATTTAAAAATGTGTAACAGTATTGAAATGCCCATTGCTCCCATTTCAACAAGTTATTGGGCACATGGTGGACTTTGAAAGGAATGTAAAGGACAAGTGCAGTACTGAAGAAGAGAATTGGTACTACTAGTATTTACCTAGCATGTAAGAAAATTTAGTCACTACTAGTAGGCCTACTAAAAGATAATAACCATGACACACTATTCCTACAAGTATTAGCTAACAGTAGTGTCACACAATGGGCAAGAAGAACAAATTGCCTCCACTAGGAAGACCAGAACCATCTCTTCTGCTGACGCATACTAAGGAGAAAGATGCAAGGAGACTCTCCAAGAGGCAACACTCACAAGTGGGCATGGTGAGCCTCACTGACAAGCCAATTAAGGCAATTTTTGCAATTGTGGACAAAAGGGATCAAAATCTTGGAGCAAATGGTCGTGTTGATTCTGATGTGGTTGCTTTCAAATAAATTGACCATGATATGATAACAAATGTTGAATTGTTTTATGTCAATGAAGGTAGTATTAGGAGGAAATTAGTGCTTTGCAATGTTTCTTTGGAGAAGGCATCCTAGCAGACAAATTTATCAATTGGGATGTAACCAGGCTCCTAGTTAGGCGGGGGGGGGGGGGGGGGGGGGAGGCTTGAGTAGAGAGGCTAGAGGTGGTTTGAGCCTTGAGGGCAGGAGAGACATAACAGAAAGAACTGCTTCTTCTTGAAGAGACTACAAATAAAGAAACGTCAAACTGAGTATTGTGAGGATAACAAGGAATCCAGACAGTGTTCAAATTGGTGATTACTATGGGGGCAGGCAGGAATTAAGATAGTGTTCTTCTACAGGGCAAAGATCTGGGTTCTTGGTTTTAGGTTGTTCTTGTCATCCAACACAAATGTTGGCATCAACTGTATTACAGAAAAAACTTGAAAAAGATTTTATAGCAGCTTTGTCCTCAACAAGAGGCAAAACTGCTGCCAGGGATTTTTCAAAGGAGTAGGCCAGCATACTACTAAATTTGGGAGTACTAGCTAATGCCTTCATTGGATGGCATTTAGATCAAGGAGATCTAGTAGATCAGTGCTTGGGTTGTCTGCTGGCACAAGTGCCACAAACAGCAGCAGCAGGGAAATTACCAGAGGAGTCATACTGACCTCCACAAACAAAAGATTATTTGGCTCTATGGGAGCTGCTACTAGCAGCAAATGGAGGAACGAGGGAAATAGCAGATAGCGTCATCAATCACAACAGGATGCTAGAGTAAAGAAGGCCAGGACGGAGGATTTTTGGATTTTCACCTTCCAAGGGGGTGTCATGGCCAGGTCATGCCACCAGAACAAAAAGGTACAGGTCAGATATGCTTTCATGTACAAATCAGTAGGAATTCTAGAGGAAAATTTTAGATCAAGAGTGTAATTCTATGCATCAGAAAGATGTGTACAATAATTTTTTAAAATAATACAGATGTTGGAAAATTTGTATTGGAAACATCAAACTTGTCCTAAGCTGCCTCAGAGTTCACTGCCTTTTTATCTTCCTCTAGGACCAACAACAGCTGTGTGCCACATTTTCACTACTGCACTTTAGGGGTGCAAAATACCAGTTGTCTTTCTAGATAAAACAACCTAGTACACTTTGGGACAAATTCAAAAAGAAGGGTGCTGTATGTATGTGTGGATTACTGCAGAGGGTCCAAAAAAGGGCCAGAGATGAAAATTAATGTTACTTTTCTGATATTGCTCCATGTGTAGTTGGGGTACCTCTGGCTGCTTTTCATCCTTGTTTTTTGCTTCTTCTCTCACTTTCCCTTGTTAGTTCCAATTATTACTTCTAAACAGCCAGCTGGAATTCAATTCACAAAAGAAGGTAGTAGAACAAGTATTCTTTTTTTAGCAGTCCTGTTTTTTGACAGGATTGTATTGTTCTAAGTTATCACCGTTATGTTCATTATTCTTGTGGTATGAAACAAACAAAGAAAGAATGATGTTGTCAGCATAAGTAGAATGACTCTAGTAGTACTATGTCAGTGTCTATTAGTACTCCTGGTGGTGACAGTGACACTACAGAAGAGGACAATCCTTTGATGATCATACAGCAACTGGTGCAAAAAGAGCAAGAAGAATCCTCAGAGTAGTAGTACTACTAGTGCTAGTATCAAGGAGGAATCAGCATCATTCTATCTGGTGGAGGTGCTTAGTACCACTAGTACTGGCTTGTAGTAGAAGTAGTACTACAGCATGATGCCCCCCAGCTTCCACAAGAACTTGAACCTTTGAGATGAGGAGAGTGACAAGACCAGGCACTCCAACACTCATCCTCTGCAGTGGTCCTCCTGGGGAAAGTACTAGAATTGCTGTTGGTAGTACTAGTAGTAGTATGAGAAACAAATTGACAAATCCTTGAATGCATAGTGAGAATAACTGGCTACAGTGCACTGGACTCTCACCTACACTTTTGCACAGGAGCCAACATTAGCCTTGATGAATTAGAGAATACTAGCAACAGCATACTGCAACTAGTACTAGTAGTACTAGTGGTGGTATGGGACTACTACTATCAAGTACAAAGTACACTACGAAGTAAAAAATGTTTCTTTCACTACTGGTACAAGGTACAAACCCTAATGAGGAGGTGGAGACAGGTCCGGAGCCAGTACAAATTATACACAGCTCTATGGAGGGAACAATACACCTCATTAGGCTTCCTGACTTGAACCTGTCTCACTTGTAAAAAAACAATAAGTAGTTTTATATCAAAATATTTGGTAGCACTAATTTGTACGTACTACTAGGAGCGAGATGCTACGATACTGATATGGATAACTCTAATTAAAAAAACACTTGTTGGTCAATTGATCTGAGACTTCCAGATCCCCTTCTTCTTGTTATAATGAAGTTATTCTAGTATATGTGTGGAGGGGAAGTCTCCCCAATTGGTCTGTCTGGAGGGTGAGACAACCCTCATGCTGGTGTTTTTTTTCTGACTACTAGTAAAAACTGTGCGGTTTTCTTGTACTCATAACCTATCTTGGATACGATCCACACATTAGGGTTCTTACCACGTACAGAAATACATTTTATTTTGGTTTGGCGTTCGCGTTGCGTTGCGTTGTGTTGGACAGTACAACCCTACTGAAGACAGACAGTTGCACATGGCAGCAGAAAGAAAAGAAGAATAAGTCAATCTGGAAAAGAAATCGTTCCGAAGAAAAGGCGGGAGGTTCGGAGACAAATGATAAAAAATTGCTTCGATATCATACTGTGGCGACGTAACATGAGAAGATACGGCATCAAGGCAGGTAATTTTAATTTTAATATGCTCCCTAATGCTTGCTGATTGTGCCTCACATTGAAAAAGTTTTTTTTCGTTCACGGATGTTCCACGGCCGTCTGCAGCATTCTAATTGTGATAAAAATGTTGTTCTCCTCCCAGATTTCGGCAAGAATATCCTGATCGCCGTGTCAAAACAGAACTGTACCGAATGCGGTAACAATAACTTGAAGTGCAAGAATTCAAATTCCTTTTGGTGTTCTGTTGCTTCTCTTCTAATCTAACACAGTACCGTGCCTTCCGGCTTTCTAGCTGCATCGGAACGCTCCGGGCCGAACTCATATCGTACGCTTGGCTACAAGATAGCGGAAGAGCATCTAATTTGTTCATTGCTTCAAACTTCCGAAACGGATTGCATGCCACATTAGCAATTTTTTACAAGGTGTTTTTGAATATCAAGACCTTTTAACCAACAATGGGCCTCAAAGGAAAATTAATCGGCGAAGGCGAACGCTATCGCTACGGTCCAATGTGCATCCCTACTCTCCCCTGGAAGAAGGACAAGCCCAAATTGAATTTTTATGACAAAGGTGAGCAGTGAACAGAGCAGAGTCAATTTGATGATTCATTTAATTCGTCACTTCTGCTCCCATCTGACACGTGTTTTGGATTGGATCGGTTGTGTTCGATTTCTTTCGAATTCCAATATTGATACGCAGACGAAGAAATTCCTTTGCTGATGTCCATTTTTATGGGTCTTCAACACTGCCTTGCGATGGTCGGTGGTCTGATCACTCCCCCTCTGGTCGTCTTCAAGTTTACCGTCTGCGGCTTTGCCGAAGCGTTCTGCCCAGATCTAGTTCAGGTTAGTGCATGTAGTGACTTTTAGGGAGAATGTCGCAGTCGAAATTACCTTGACCTGCTCGAGTGCCTCGTCGACACCAAATCAATCATCCGGTCCAATAAGTGCAGGAATTTCGTTCGTGGTTTTGAGTCTAACACAATCAATTTTGTCTTGTATTGACTTGTCTACATTCCATTGGTTGATTCATTTTTTGGATTTCGCTCTGTGTTGTTCTCCACTTTCAACACGATAAATTTTTCTGATTCAGTATGCAGTCAGTGCTGCCTTGATTACATCTGGTATTTGCACCATCCTCAATGTCTTGAAGTTATCTATTCCTTTCTCCGAAAAAGTCTTTGGACGGACTCTCTACATGGGTTCCGGCGTGCTAAGTGTTATGGGAACTTCCTTTACTTTCTTGCCTATCTATGAAATTGCCATTGATCAAATGAAACGGGACGGATTGGACGGAGGTGTCGCCTACGGAAAAATGCTCGGAACCAGCATGGTTTGCTGTCTCTTGGAACTCTTCCTATCGATCTTGCCCCACAAACGCATCATGAAAATTTTTCCGCCTATTGTAACATCGATCTCTGTCATTCTGATTGGGGTTGCCCTCACTGGCACTGGAATGAAGTATTGGGGCGGCGGTGTGGTTTGTGCCGAAATGGGATGGAAAACCCATGCTCAGATTGTCTCGCAAGAAGATCTTAGCTTTCCACCTCCCTTTCCAACCTGTGCAAACGGCGAAACCAGTGAGTTCTACGGTGCGCCACAATACATTGGGCTCGGATTCTCGGTAATGACATTCCTTGTCTTCATCGAATTGTTTGGAAGCGTCTTCATGAAGAACTGCAACGTCATCCTGGCCCTATTGTTTGGATACATGGTGGCTGGACTTTCTAGTCTTGATGGTAACTCTTACGTGGATACCAGTGCTATCAAAAACGCCGATCCTATTACCTTTTTGTGGGTAGAGACATTTCCAATCGGCTTTTACTGGCCAGCTGTGATTCCTCTATTGATCGCCTATATTGTAACGACTATCGAAACCGTTGGGGACATCAATGGTAGGTTTCGTGGATGTGTTTGCTGTTGTTGCTCTACTTGGTTTTCATGTTGTTTGTCTTTATCCCGTTCGGTTGAGTTGCATTGCAGCTTGCTGATACGAGTCGATTCGCTATCTTGAACCCAATCGTTCTAACAAAACGATCATCACTGCCGTTGTACACAGCCGTCTTCGAAGCATCCGAACTCGAAACTGGAAGCGAGGAATACAACACCTCAATTCAGGGTGGTCTAACTGCCGATGCTATAAACTCGATCCTTGCGAGTTTGTTCACATCGATGCCAAATACCACCTTTTCTCAAAATAACGGAGTTATTGCCTTGACGAAGTGCGCCTCGAGACGGGCCGGATATGCTTGTGGTGGCTGGTTGATTTTCCTTGGTGTTTTTAGCAAAGTTGCAGGGGTCATTACAAGCATTCCCGATTGCGTTTTGGGTGGGATGACCATCTTCTTGTTTGCAAATGTCCTTGCCAGCGGAATCAATCTCACAAAACTCGTGGACCTGGAAAGTCGACGCAATCGATTCATCATGGCCTTTAGTCTTGCCCTAGGTGTCGGTGTAACCGTTTGGCCCTACGCTTTTCTCGACCGCCGTGCGTCTCCTTACACGGCCGCATTTTGGAAGTGTGAAGATTGCTCGGATGCTATGAAGGGGCTTCGCAACGGTGTGAGCATCTTTTTGTCCACTGGCTACTGCATTGGTTCCGTGACCGCCATGCTTTTGAACTCCATCCTACCTTGTGACTCGGGTCTCTCATACTCGGTTTGCAGAACAAACGGCGAGGAGACAAAGGAGATGAGCGAAGCTGTTCCTAAGGAAGAGGCAAAGGGTGATGCTGACGATGAAGATGACGATGAAGAGAAACCCGCGGATGAAGAGGAAGCTGACCAAGAAAAAGCTCTTGTACAAGAAGCGTAGAAAAGAGCAAAAGGAAACCTCGAACGAAACCTGTTTGCCTTGCTCGATTGCATATTTATATTTTCCAACTGATTTTAGTGTTTATTTCACTTTTGTAACAAGTGAATCGATTGTTTTGTTTATAATGGGGTCGGTTCAATTTTCCCGAATGAAGGCAAGATTCTGGTGACGCACAAATTGTATTCAACGATGCCTTTTTTTACTAGTACAGCATGATTATACCGTACATAAATATATGTTTCCCCCTAAACGTAGTGAATTGAGATTCGCGTTAGATCTATCTCTATATTTAGAATGCTTAGCAAAAGAGGTTCAGTCCTAACCAGTGATCCAGTCCTTGATGCAACACGCCGCGAGGGCAGCCACAAACGCAATTCCCCCCGCAAGCTGTGCTACGCGATGACCGTTTCGAATGTCCGTCGGAGATGGTCCATTCACGCACGGGATGTCTTTCCCTAGGGCATACTCTCCCTTCTTCTCTAACCGAACACCAAGAATGCCCGCCATGGCCCCCATTGGCCACCCGGCGTTTGGAGAAGAGCACTGGGCACAGTCTTTCCACGCCGTCGCGAATCCCCTTTTGGCGCTGCAGCGAGGGACCATCGCTGCGGCAGCTACGAGGGCAAGAGTCGTCAGCCGTGCGGGGACCAGATTGACGAGGTCGTCGAAGCGGGCAGAGGCCTTTCCGAACCATTCGTACCGGCCTCCGCGGTAACCTATGCGAGAATCCAGTGTGTTGGCAACTCGGTAGCCCAGGGCACCAACGGGTCCAAAAAGGATATACCAAAACCAAGGAGCCACTGTACCATCCGAGAGATTTTCCTGGAAAAGAACAACGCGGTAGGCATCGACGAGATTGAAAACAGAGTCCACGTTACACCAAGCCGAACCGCAAAACGAACCGAGCAAAACCAGGCGAATCGTGAGTACTTTGGTCACCTTTCTTTCCTTTCAAAAATCCGAAACGACGACTTGTAAGAAACAACCACACTGCGGTGCGGGACTCACCGAAAGGCTCTCCAAAGTGCCGCCCGCCAGGTCCTCGGATCCCAGATGCATCGGATCCCGACTGCACAGCCACACCAGCTGGTCTCTGGCCTCTTGAAGCTGGGATCGCTCGAGGAATCGAGCCATCTGAAGGGCGATTGTGCACAGCAGCTGAAGCGAAAACGTGGTTTTGAAAAGCACTACCTCCAGCACCCAGGAACCAAACGGCACCACATCCCGCTGGAGAACGACCCAACCACCGAGACCCGGGTGGTCCTTGATCGCTTCCTCCGTCCATTGGACCACGGCCAGGAACAATTGCGCCCCAGACACAAAGAGAGCGAGCATCCCCACCAGAAACAGGACCCCACCGAAAAATCCGAGGACTGGGCTCCGAAAGACTCGTTCCGGGATCCATTTCTTTGTAGCGATGCTAATGACGGTTCCCGCCAGAACGACCGGGTGCACCGAAAGCGGAGGCTCCGGAAGGCAGCTGCGGTGGTGTTGGCGTTGCATGGTTTGGAAAAGAACAACGGGTTCGAAAACAAGGAGCACGGACAAGAGGTGGTTGGACAATCCATTGAAAACTCTAGCAAAGCGACGGATTCCCAAACACTCCAAACACCGACTCACCGATCCCAGAAGGCGGCCGCCATCAGTACCGTCGCCGATCGTGGCAGCCCCACGATTCGACCGAACCCAAAGTAGGCCAGAAGGACCATCGCCCATCCGAGCAGGACCACCGAGAGGGGCGACGGCGGCATCGGATCCATCGGCTTGGGGGGAACGCAGGGGCGGGATCCCTTCAGCAGGAGGCCCCAGAGGTAGGTCTTGTAGCGGTGGAGGTGGTACCACCACACCGTTCCGTACAGGTGGACCAGGTTGGACCGGATCGCCTCCCTGGTCGCCTCCCGGACGGCCTGTCCGATCAGCTCGGCCAGGAGGCAGTGCTTCCCCGCGTACTCGAGCCGGAAGGCGGGGGCACCGGGCGGCCGCGGCGATTGCGAGCGCGGCACGGCCGGGCCCAGCAGAACGGCGCAGTCCGTTCCCGTCCCCTGCGCGAGGTCGTTCCCGTACAGCGACTTGGCGCACGCCAGTCGGAAATCGGCACACGCCGCGCACTTGGCCTCGATGGCGATCGCGTAGGCCTCGACGGTGGCCCCCTCCGACAGGGGCGCCCCGTTGACCACCACGACCGTGTTGATGGTCCCCCGGGGGGGCGGGGCTTCCTCCCTGTCCTCCGGGAGCAGGGCAAAGACGTCGGCGTCGGCCCCCGCTGTTCTCGCGTTGGAAATCCCCGCCGTGACGATGGCGTCCACGAAAATCCCCCCCGCCGATCGGCTCGCCGTCCGGAGGGATCTCATGGAGGCCGCCGTCATGATTCCGACGGTGTTCTCGTCGTCGAGAAAGCCTTTTCCGTGTCTCCCGTCGCTGCTGCCGGCGACACTCCCGTGGTGTTTGGCGTTGCTATTTCTGCTGCCGTCGCAATCGTTTTGGTTTTCGTTTTCGTTCTCGTCCCCGTGCCGAATGTTTGGTTCCTTCCCGATGGCGGATCGGAGGAAAGCCTTTGGTTCGGGATTGAGACCGTCATAGGTGCTGGGAACCTTATAGTTCAAAACGCACACCTTGTCGCCGGCGTCGATCTTGTTGCCGTAGTGAAACGAGCGCAGCCCCCCGTTCCAGATGGCCGACGAGATCGAGTTCCAGCCATCCGTGGGAACCCCAGTGACGTCGCCCGAATTCCTACGGGAGACGCCCACCGGAAGTTCCACCAAGGCCCGGTTTTCGTCGACTCGGACCAGGCATCCGGTCGGCAGGGAGATGGTTCGTTCTTCTGGTCCGAGCATTTGCGCTGAAGGGTGCTTTGCGAAGGTACGTGCTTGTTCGAAGCGTGTTCTGGGCCGTGGGTTCTCGTCGGCGCGATGGCGAAATCAAAGGGATCTCGCACGCCTAGCACGGCAAACACAGAATTCGTTCGTTTGAGATGGATATTTTCTTGCTCAACCCGTCTCGTCGGTACGAATCGGACGGTGCGTATCGTATTGGACGCCCGGAAGCCGAAAATTGAAACTGCAGAAGATCTTTCGAGACGGGAAGTGAAGTCGGTGCTCTAGAAGAAGGGACTGATGGGATTGTGAGGCTAAATTGCGGAGCACGTTCTTCCGACACTCGTGCAGAACGAAAGGTTTTGGCGCGCGCATTTCAATGATTGATTCAACGACTCGTTCGACTCGATGGATGGTTTTGTGTCAAGAAGCACCATACCAGTAGTACTACGATACTCTCGCATTGTAAGCACGGTGGTTACGAGTAGTCCACTGCTTGAAATGAGCAACGCAACCCCTTACACTACTATTGCAGTTTGCGGTAGCGATTACCGATACGTACGGTATGGTACGATTTATACGGTATGATACAATACGAACCTTCAGAAGAAAACAAGTCTCGAATCTTATTCGTCATAATCGCAATGTACATGAGGCACACATCGGTTCGACGAAACAACACACACCACCACCACCACCGCTCCGGTACCGTCGAAAGGAATACAACCGAAGCTCCAAAAGAGGAGTTGGTGGAAAACTTGACAACAAGTGCGACTGCTGCCGCGTCCTCGACGACAAGCTTGTTGCGCAACTGTTTCGTTCGAACAGCGCTTTTGTTGCTGTCGTTGTCGCTGGGGAGGGCCTCCATCGGTGCCCTTGTTTCTACCCACACTCCGAACACCGGTAGCATCTCTTCAATTGGCGCGATAAGAACAGCCGCTTCGATGGTTTCCAAGGCAGTAGTACCAGCAAGAGCTATCCCCTATCGACCGGTGCGCTTCGAATCATTTCCGGTGACCGAAAACGACCGGAATCCCGGCACGGTGCTCGGGTACAGGGCAGTCGATGCCGGCGACGACAACGGGAACGGTGAACACCAGCGAGTGGTGACGTTTGAGGACTTTGTTCGCCTCATAGCGTCTGGCGATGCCGCTACTCCGGGGGCGATCGCGCAATCCCTCACCGAGGTTTTGAAGGTACGCAGCGTGGTTTCCACTCTATAGCGTTGGGTCACATGTACACAAACAGAGCCAGGTGGCGTGGAGAGACATCGATTCGTGCCGCATATTTTTGCCGTGGATGCCATTCTGCTATCGCTTAGCGGTCGCAATACCAAACCCTCCCATTGTTCTGTTTCGATCGTTTTGGCTCACGCCCATGATTGTTCTGCATGGCGTTTTTTGATCCATGGCAACCACAAAACCGAAAAAAACAAACAACTACGCAGGAAACACCCTATCGAGCCTTTCGGTTCGAAACCCCACCGGTATCGAGAGCGACCGTGTCCAAGAAGGCATTCGAATTTGTCCTAGTCGAGGACAACTACCTGGCCCGGTTTGCGCAATCGCCGGATCCGGAACCTTTTTCGGCAATGCTGTCGTCGTGCCACCACAGCGAAACCAGCGGTGGGCACGGCGCCACCGGCTCTTCCCCTTTGGCCGGGTGCGCCTTTTTCAATCTCGGGGGCGACGCCGAGCTGGTGGCGCCCGCCGATTGGACCCAGGGCGAGGGTTCACCGCCGCCGGCCTGCTACGGCCACCTGGCCGGTTTTGTCCGGGGTGCTCCCGCGGCCCAGATCGATGGCCTGTGGAGGCTGCTTGGATCCGTGCTGGAGAAACGGCTGCTATCAGAATCGGACGACGACGCCGAACCAGCGCAGCAGCAGCATCATCGACCCGTTTGGCTTTCCACGGCGGGAACCGGTGTGGCCTGGTTGCATTTTCGGTTGGATTCGCGACCAAAGTACTACGAATACAAACCCTACAAGGTGTTTTAGTCGGTTTCAAGGTTGCATAAAATTTCCAACCGAATACTAGTAAGTATTTACTCCCACTACCCGTAACTGAAACACTATTGAGTTCAGAATGCTGCCGACAGTACAAACCCAAACGTGGATATGGCAGACGTGGATAAAGCCGACGACCACCAAAATCGAAACGAACTCTTCGACTACCAGTCATTTCCGTACGTATTCGTTCTACTCAAACATACGTAGCATACCGGCAGAAATCTGAAATCTAGTCGTTTCACTTCACAGTGTTGATTCCGTCGCGCGCAGTTACGAGTTGCTGTACGAATACCGTATCATAACAGTTACGACGGTGTCGTGGATCGTGACAGAGACTAAAATACTTTCAGAACGGATTATTTTACGGTTTTATGTCATATAGGCGATCGGAGACATCTCAAACGAGTTCTTGCTAATCGATAGACGGCCTGTTGACAACACGCAACGGTGCGTTCACAGCGTACGTATTCACCAGAGCAGCATTGTCAAAAGCTACACTGAGCGCGATGTTGTAGAATAAATGAAAAAAAGGAACCAATCATAATGACAAAAAGAGCGAGAATAATTATGGAGTCATCTACGACCGTAACTCCCGTTGCTCGTAGTATAAAGAGCAGCTGCCACAGCGAGGACTCTGGGCACGTGTGGCTGGTCACCATCGACTACGATGGGTCTCCGTCAGAAGGATGCAGCGATTGTGGTCATTCAACTTCCTGCGTCTTTGGATCCGAAGCAGAACGGGATCGATTCCTTGCGTCAGCTACAATGATTCCAGATTCAACCGACAGCAGCAGTGGTGGCGCGAAGAGCAAACCTAGCATCGTGGGTTACTCGGTGCAACGGATCAAAACAAGTGATGCTACCAAGAGAGAGGGTTTCACCGGGTCGGAAACCGCAGCAGGGGCGGGCAACGGCCAAGCATCGCCGAACGAAAGAACGGCTTTATTGAACCCAACCCAGCACCAACAACGCCATAGCGCCACCAAGCACAATGATAATTTCAATCAAATTGACCACCCAAGCTCCTTGATTCAGGGCGACGACGAGGAAGAATGCTACAATGACTTTAACGAACTTTCCAAAGGTTTTGATGCCTTGGTCAAGCGCTTCGAACTCTTCCGAAGGGTTATCGAACACGAAGACGATCTTCTCAATCAGCGCATGTCATGGATCATCCTAGCCCAGTCCTTTTTGATGGCCGCCTTTATCAGCACTGGGAGCGACAATGATAACAACAACAACAGACGCTTCCTGTCGATCACTGCCGCCGTGGGCCTCCTAACCTGCCTGGTCACCCTTCCCGCCTTGGTGGCCGCTGGAAAGAACATAGAGGTCCAGCAGCACATCTACTTTGCCGGCATCCGCTCCGACTCCCTCTGTCAAAGGCTCCACGGGCACGGCCGGGACCGTTCCTGGGGCGGGGACACGGAGCACAAGCTCCGGTCGTCGTCGTCACACCTCTTGCCCAACACGGCCTTTCGATCGAGGTTTGGTGTGCCGATTCTGACGACGGTAGTGCTGCTGTCGATCGTACAGGTTGCCGGATGGTGTGGGCTACTAGTAGCCCTGATAATGGCGGACGACGACCGATAGGTGCGAATACTGCGTGACTGGCTGCTTGACCATCTTTTCAATGAATTCGAGGCTTTAAATATTGTAGAAAGGCGTTCATGTTGTTCCAACATGTATCAACAAAATATTGAGAAAATACTTCAGCTCCTCTTAGTGCTCATCTGAAGCCTATCGTTCGAGAAATGCGTTTCGTAAATGATACTGAAGATTCAGCTTTGTCATACAAGAGCGCGTTGGATGGGACATGCAGCCCTGCTTCACAACTTTTCCAAACAATCAAAATATAAAATATTGAAGACTTTGCTACACTAATGGTGGCAACAGTGATATACAGTAGCAACACACAATATTCTCAAAAATTCCACGCTTCTCAGCACAATACATTCACAAATGCACCAAAGTCTCGGCGGAACATAGGAGAGGAGCAAAGATGAGGTTTTTGGTCATCCTCTTACACACTTCCTCCTGCTGCCTGTTGTGGCTCTTTACAGACTGCGTTGCTACTATGGTGAAGATAAACCATAAGATGATGAGGTTTAGATTTCTACTTATGTTTAGATTTTTGCTAAAGCATAGTCACTTACCCAAGCCATATTTTCGTCAGGGATAATATTACTGTTCTGTATTTATTCAAAATTGAAAATTTTCGAAAAGGTTATGAGCTCAGTCGTAGAACCAACCAATTTTCATGAAACGACGACATTTCGGTACAAATGAAGTTTGAAAAATTTATGATGCCGCGCACTGTGCCGTAGGGTATCGTTGTACGAGTACGGGTACGAGTAGCAGTAATAGTACATCAGACACAGAAAAATTCTTCATACCGCGCTTCAGCTTGATTTGTAGAACCGGCAGAGGTAATCTGAATGCGGCAAGGCTGGCACCAAAAAGATCGAGAACAGGCTGATACACCAGGGCCCAACGGAACGCATAGAGCGAATAAAGCCATTCAAATCCAAGATGGTCCGGAAAAAGCTCGATGAAAGAGTGAGGACGCTCCTAGAGCGCAGCGTCGTGAGGAACGAACGCTCGATCCTTGTGTTGGTCGGTGATCACGGAAAGGATCAGGTTCCCAACCTCCATCAGATTCTTTCAAAGACATCTTTGCAGCAGCGCCCTAACGTCTTGTGGTGTTACAAGAAGGAACTTGGCTTTTCCACTCACAGGAAGAAGCGCATCAAGAAACTGAAGCGAGACAAAGCCAGGGGTTTGTTGAGCAAAGGAGGCAACGACGGAACAGCCGACAACTTCGAGCTATTTATCGGCTCGACCGACATCAATTGGTGCTATTATAGAGATTCTCATAGAGTTCTTGGATCAACTGTTGGGATGCTTGTCTTACAAGATTTCGAGGCGCTCACGCCGAATTTAATGGCCCGGACGATCGAAACTGTCAAGGGCGGTGGTCTCGTAGTTTTCTTGATGAGAACCGTCAAATCTCTAAAGCAACTCTACACCATGACCATGGATGTTCATGCACGTTACCGAACGGAATCATCCGGCGACCTTGTCCCGAGATTCAATGAGCGGTTCATTTTGTCTCTTGCAAAATGCTCGAATTGCTTGGTCTGCGATGACGAGCTCAATGTTTTGCCTGTTTCGCGAAGGACCCTAAAGGGATTGGACCCGAACGCCATTGGTGGCGGTCGAGTGGAAAAAGGAGACGCAGGAGAAGTCATTCAACAAGAAACACCAGAGGAGATAGAGCTGAGAGAACTGAAAGAATCTTTGTACGACACACCTCACGTTGGCGTGCTGGTTGATCTTGCCAAGACGGTAGATCAGGCAAAGGCGCTCTTGGTTTTTTTGGAAGCCTGCTCGGAAAAGACGAATTCCACGTCCACTGTGGCCATGACAGCTGCTAGAGGGCGTGGAAAATCTGCAGCCATGGGTTTGTGTTTGGCGGGTGCAATTTCGTTGGGATATTCCACCTTGGCCGTGACAGCTCCGGAACCAGAAAATCTCGTTTCGGTTTTTGACTTTTTGTGCCGTGGTCTCAAGGCACTCAAGTACCAGGAGCATTTGGATTACAACATCACGTACAATACATCGTCTGGACGCGAGGCAATTAAATGCATTGTGGCAATCAACATTCATAGAAGCCACCGCCAAATTATCCAATACATTCCTCCCAACGAAGCGGATAAATTTTCTTCGGCGGAGATTGTCGCGGTGGACGAAGCGGCGGCCATACCTCTCCCAGTTGTTCGTAAACTCATGCAGCACAAGGACCGATTGACCTTTTTGAGCTCCACAATCAACGGGTACGAAGGTACGGGGAGGGCATTGAGTTTAAAACTCATCAAGGAACTTCGAGAATCAAAGGGCGGAAGACAGGCCGAACTGAATATAGCCAAAGCCGCGGCCGGGGAAATCGTAGGAGCAAGATCCAAAAAGGGGGAAGCAAAAGTTCACGAGCAACGCTACAAGGCAGCTGCTGAAGCTGCTGCTGGAGGAAGCGGTGGAGAAATCCTTTCGGGGCCGCTGCGTGAGATTGAACTAAACATGCCAATCCGATACGCTCGTGGCGACGGGGTCGAAAGCTGGCTGAACAAATTACTCTGTCTCGACTCGGGATCGAGTGCTCAATTGAAATTGAACGGTGGTGCACCGGCACCTTCGGACTGTGAATTGTACAGTGTTGACAGGGACGCTCTCTTTTCGTATCATAAATTGTCAGAAGCCTTTCTCCAAAAGCTCATGGGACTTTACACGTCTGCACATTACAAGAATACCCCGAATGACTTACAAATGCTCTCTGATGCTCCGGCCCATGCCGCATTCGTGCTGCTATCCCCTTCTGCCGAAAAAGATGCCGACTCTCTACCGGATATTCTGGCAGTTGTTCAAGTTGCACTAGAGGGTAAAATCTCGCGAAAGGCTGTAGAAGCACAACTCGCTCGTGGTCACCGATCGGCAGGTGATCTGATTCCCTGGACAATTGCCCAACAATTTGGAGATTCGAAATTTGCTCAGTTGAGCGGTGCGAGAGTGGTTCGAATTGCAGTTCATCCTTCTGTCCAGGGTATGGGATATGGTTCTCGAGCAGTTGAGTTGCTCTACAGGTTCTACAACGGAGATATGGTATCATTGGACGACGCCGATGACGACGACGAAGAGGAGAGTGATGATGAAGAGAACGTGTCTGATTCTGATAGTGACGGCGAAGGTAATAAACGCGGAAAGGGCATTCTGGCAGAGAAATTGGCTCCACGGAAAGAATTGCCTCCGCTTCTTCTCCCACTCACGGAAATTGAAGCACCTCGGCTGGACTGGATTGGAACTTCCTTTGGATTGACGCTTGGGCTCCACAAGTTTTGGAGCAGGGCAGGCATGCAAATGCTGTATTTGCGGCAGACCAAGAATGAGTTGACCGGTGAACACTCATCCATCATGGTGCGGGCACTTCCCAAGACATCCGGAGTGGACGATGCATGGCTCCACGCATTTGTTAGTGATTCGAAACGGCGGTTCATCTCCATGTTGGGAGGTTCGTTTCGAGACATGGAAATTCGGACTGCGATCTCGGTGCTGGACAAAATGTGTGAGACAAAGAATATCTCGGACCGCTCAGGAACTGCCGGCGGAAAAATATCGGCCGAGGAACTGGGCTTTTTGATGACCCCTCACGACATGAAGCGACTCGAGCTCTATGGTAGAAACCTTTGCGATCATCATTTGATCACTGATTTATTGCCCACTGTTGCCCGGTTGTACTTTCTTGGACGATTTGGAAAGGGATTTAAGCTTTCTAGTGTTCAATCCGCCATCCTTTGTGGTATCGGGGTGCAAACCCAGGTTGTCGATTCTCTGACAAAAGAATTAGGCCTTCCATCAAACCAAGTTTTGGCCATGTTCAACAAGGCTATCCGCAAGATATCTATTGCCTTGTACAGCATTGTGGAAGCCAAGGAGAAGGAGAGCCTTCTCGGCGGAGAAAAGAGAAAGAAAGCCCAAGAAACAGCCGAAAGCATGCGCGATGTTGCAGCAAAGACCTTGGAGGAAGATGCAGCCGAGGCAGCAAAGGATGCCATCAAGGAACTGAACAATTACAACAACAATAATCACATTTCCTCAACAATCGCCAACGATAAATCGTTGATGCAGTACAGCATCAAGGGCAGCGACGAGCAATGGGAAAAAATACTCGATGGAAAGGACATCAGCGGAACCGGCATGGTATCCGTAAAAAGTGTCCGCGACAAGCGCAAAGCCGTTGACGACGAGGATATGCTGAAAGAAGCCACGAATGATAAAGAGAAAAAGAGCAAGAAGAGCAAAAAGAAATCCAAACGACAGTAGCCGTAAATGATGATGCGCATAGGCATGAACGTGCACTGAACTTTGACACTCAATCGTAGAGTACTACAGAGAGCTATTAATATCGTAAATCTAACCAAAAAATTTAAGAGAGATTAATAAATAAATTAACTCATACTTTCCTCGAAGACAGTCGATGCCGAGGTACCCTTCCCGTCAAATACAGGTGGCGGCAACCCAAAAAGAGACCGCAGCGTCCTGCTGAGCGCCCGCTCTCCCAGTCGTGCCGTAACATCGTTTGCGGTCTTTTGGACCTTAGGTTCCAGGGCGAGCTTGCGGACGATCGGGACCAGTTTCGAATAGTCCGTCTCGGCACCAATGTCTAGGAGCGACAGGATTTTTCCGAATCTCGTCATCGATTCCGTGGGTTCCGGAAGAACGCCCTTGACCTCCTCGTTGAGGTTCTTTTCGCGGGTGATCACGGATTGGAGCGAACGGAACGCGTTGACAGCGGAAATTTCGTCTCTAATTGCGAGCGCACGTCCAGCCGCTAAAATATAGGAAATGCCTTCCGTTCCAAGATTGTCGGCCTCATGGACAATTCCGTCCGCCAGATCATCGAGAACCGCGTCCCCTTCCTCAGATATGAGATAATCTGTCAGCAGATTGAGGGCAGAAGTAACGTCGTATCCTGAAGATCCCTTTGCTTCGTCCAAGAGTCCCTCCAGTCGATTCCATCGCACCCGACCATCGCTGGTTAGGGCCAACCGCTTCAGTGCCTCTTGCAGATCTTGCTGCGGGTCTGTCAAGACCCGACTTGCTACGTACGGGTAGGCCTCGCTGATAATTCTGGAGGTCGGATCGACCTGAATGGCCAGTCCTTCGAGAACGCCCATGCAACGAATGATCGATATGTAGAATGGGGGCAACGAGAAAGGAAATGTGTAAAAAATATCTCCTAGTTTGTTGACCACATTCTTGAAATTGAGCTCGGAGATATCGGCGTTCAATACATCGGGGAGGGCCCGCTCGAGGGCCACCTCGATTGGTTTTGCATCGGTGTCGTTGGGAATAAAACCCAAACTTCTGTAGACTCGCACCAGTTCCGGCCAATCCCGGTTTACGATGTGCACGACAGCAAGCAAAAATCCATTCCGTTGGGCCCGGTCCACATAGGACATCATTCCGAAATCCAGGTAGCAAAGCCTCCCATCGGGACAGGCCAATAGATTTCCGGCGTGAGGGTCGGCATGGAAAAAACCTATCGACAACCAAAAAGATCAAAGCAAAACCAAACCGATGAGTTAAATGGCAAAAACATCTTTCTTGTTTCCACTATTTCAAACTATCGTTTTCGATGACATATCTTCAACTTGATTGTTTACAAAACGATACGACTGACTTAGCGACATCAACTACGTACCGTTTTCCAGAATCTGCCTGATCGACGACTGAACCAGTGTATCCACCAGCTTGGACTTGTCGAGGCCGAACTGTTGCATGCGGTCCGAATCGGTCAACCGACAGCCGTCTACCCATTCCATTACAAGGACCTTGCGGGTCGTCAGATCCGAGTACACCTTGGGAACAAAGACCTGCTCGGCGACACTCGCGTAGAGTTCATTGAAACGCTGGGCGTTGGCAGCTTCTGCAACGTAGTCAATTTCTCGGTAAATAAGCTCTCCAAAATCGTCAATGATGGACTGGACGTTGATGTCCCGGTTCAAAAGCTGAAAAATCTTGTTGTAGATGCCAGACCACCACCGCAAAATGTACAAATCGAGAGCGATGATCTCTTCGCAGTTGGGCCTCTGGATCTTGATGGCCACCAGATCTCCGTTTGCCTTCAGGCGCCCCTTGTATACCTGTCCGATCGAGGCCGCCGCGATTGGTTCGTCTTCCTCCAAGTCAAAGACATCGCTAAAATTTTCCACTCCCAGCTCCTCTTCGACGGTTCGAAATGCCAGCTCGTTGCTAAAGCGGGGGACGTCGTCCTGCAGCTTCTGGAGTTCCTCGAGGTACTCCGATGGCAATAGATCCGGTCGGGATGCCAGCGCCTTGCCGGCCTTAATGATTGCCGGTCCCAGGTTGGAAATGGCCTTGCGGAGCTGTATGGCCCTCTTGCGGCGCCGAGAGGCATCCGCTTGTTTCTTGGCAGCGGCACTGGTTCCGGACGAAGAAGACGACTGCGAGATCAAATAATCCTGGACCACACCAACGGCCCACAACCCCAGGGGACCGGCAATCTGTACGTTTCGGACGAACCATCGATTGGGTTGCTGGAAGAGATTCTTCTCTGCCGCTACGGGATCGTATTTCACCAGGGGCTCGGCAATCTTGACGCCCTGTCGAAAGGCGTACCGCGTGACAAAGTCCGACCCGTCCAGCAATCCGTTGGACCAGACCGTGTCGGGAACAACGACCGTGCTCTCGTCGTCCTGGCTGTCACTCCCGTTGTTCTTTGCCGCTGCATCGGCGAGGCTGGGCTCTTGGTCTTCCATGGCCGTCAGCTGATCGAGGAGGATTTTTGCCTTCAGCAGCCGAGGCGACATGTTCGCGTTCTCGTCGTAAAAAAGATCGTCGTCATGGTTTGTGGGTGACAGTTGCTGTGGCGACTGGGAATTTTGCTGTTTCTGTCGCTGTACGCCCGAGGCACCTGCACTGTCGCTTGCTTTCGTCGTGGCGACAAAGAGTCGCTGCAAGGGTCCACGGGAAGATCTGCCCTCGTGGAGCGTTTGGCATTGATTTCGTGTATTTGCGGTAAACGCATTTGTTTTGTGTACACGGTATATACCCAGGAATAGAAGAAGCCATAATGCCCGAGAAGATCCGTCAGGTATTGTACGGCGGTTCATCGTCTGAAACAAAATTGGGTGGGATTGCTGCAACGATTCTTAGCTGAAGCAAGCTGGGTTTGGGGTTGCTCCGGTTGCGTCGGACTGGGGTAGTGCTTTCCGTCGTGTTTCAGTTCTGAATTTATCAACCGTTCTCTCTACTGAATTGGAAGCGATAAGATACTCGTGATGACCACAGGAGAGTGTTGATGTGTGCTCTCGTGTTTCTGGTTGTGCGCAGCAATGTTTCTGTCTTTCTTCAGAAGATGCAGCTGAGGACATGCAGTTTTCTTCCTTCCCTTTCAGTCTGGACCCGTAATATGAGTACTAACATTCCTTTGTTGATGCCAAGCTGCCGTGAATCCAGCGCGAACCATAGCTTACTCATCATTCTTTCCAGCTGGTGGAATTTGTTCCTCTTTTTCTTCGTGTCAAAGGGGGAAATCCAACCGGAGGTACAACAACAGTTTTTATCAATTCATGATTGAAAACCGTTCCAGTCGTTCAAAGCCGAGAACAAAAATTAGTCGTGTGACAGGCAGCACGCAAACCGTATCATTTTAAAATTCTCATAGTGGTCTGGACTTCCATCCGGATAAAGCCGTTGACGGGTATGCATTTATATATATTTGAATATTTATACGCGCGCGGGCAGGTATTTTCATTGCTCGCCGAACAAAGCCTTTTCCGCTGGCTTTAAAGAATTTGTGGTGCCGATTGCATCTCTGCGGCCTCGGCAAGACATGCTCGCGGAAGGTCCAGTTAGTTCTGCATTGGAATTTTAATATCAGAATCGCACACGCTTTGTCGTAGTTTCGTTATGGGATGAGAGAGGCGTCCGGCCATAGCCGATGCACGAACGAAAACGTTAAATTGAATACTAGCACTCTTTTTCGTCACCGTAGCACGCAGCTCACCGGTCGCCGGTTTCCTTCTCTCAAACGTACTACGAATTACCAGCTCGATAGTAGGAGTCGCTGTAACAAAAAAGGAACCCCAAAAGTACTTGCCGAGCTGCTAGCCAAAGGCATTAACACCACTTCCCACTTACTGCTCAACCCGTTGATACATCCTACCCACCCTGTTATCTAGATTGCCCGGCATCTGTAACAACATCCCTTTATTTGTACAATAAACGACAAGAGACAAAAGAGGTGTTTCGTGCTGCTTTCCGATAGTTGAATTCTGTTCTGTTCTTTCCCAACGCAACAATATTATTTTTCGTTTCACATTACGATACAACAAAATACAATACATACACAATGGAAGCGAGTCGACGAATTCTAGAAGAATACTATGTCAGCGATGCCAACGCGAGTTATTCGTGTCCGTCATGGGCCCCGACGGTTGGTTTCGTAGGAATTGCCTCTGCCGTTGTATTTGCCAGTAAGTCTTCGCAAGCGCCGATGCACCAGAAATCGGAATCGAGAATCCTTGTTTCTTTCCGGCGATTTCTTTCGGGCCTGCTCCCGATATCATCGGGCTGGATGCTCACTTGGTTCCTCGGGCTGAATTCCTTCGTCTATGCGACGCCTTGTCGTTGCGTTTCTCTAACGCTTTTCTCTGTCGCTCTTCATCCAATGCACTGAATCGTGCTCAAACTAACAGACATCGGCGGTGCTTACGGAACGGCGCGAGCAGGTCAAGGAATCATGTCTATGGGAATCCGATCGCCGGAACTTCTGATGAAAAACATTATTCCCGTAGTCATGGCCGGTGTGTTGGGTATTTACGGAATGATTGTTGCGGTCATTCTGAATGGAAAAATCACTCCTCCGGGACAGGGGACTCGCTACGCTACTTACTCCCAATTCAACGCTTTCTGTCATCTTGCCGCCGGTCTGTGTTGCGGTTTGACGTCTCTCATTTCAGGAATTGCAATCGGTATCGCCGCCGATGCCGGAACGCGGGCCGTCGGTGCTCAATCGCAGATGTCGGAATCTTGGAAGAAGATGGGATTCTCGGGCGACGCCGGCGGACAATCGAATTCAGGAAACGATAATCTCTTTGTGGCAACCATTCTCATCCAGGTCTTTGCCTCCAACATTGGACTGTACGGTCTTATCACGTCCCTTATTCTGTCACAGCAAGAGTATACATGCGATTACAACAATTAGGAATGTACACTCTAGGCGCAATCAAATTCAACCATAGTACATGCATCATGTAAAACTGCTCTACCGCGGACGGAAAAGTGAATTCTCTTCCATTCGCTTCAAGCAGCCTTTGCTTGTGGAATGGAAGGGAAACAGAGAGGGAACGAGGAGTTTTTTTAAATCAATCCATCCTATATTCAACGGATACGAGTGAGTCCATTGCAGGCAGCAATAAAGAAAATGGAATGCATTGCAAGGCGATGCAAACCATTGATAGATAAGATACTCTAAAACAAAAAACGAAAAAGTGTCGCGCCACAACGTGCGTTCTAGCGTGTATCATTCCGAAAAGTAACGTGGATTCATTCGTCTTGATACCGATCCGTTGCTTTCTCTTCGCTTACAAAGTCGCACGATGGGCATGTTCTGTGCACGGCAACCGATAGATTGTGTGCATTTGTTGATTACGACAGAGCGGGGACGGAAAAAACCATCGTTGGTGGGTCCGAACATTGTCACCAAGCCTTCGATGACAGAGGCTGCACATTTTTGCACACTAGTAAGAGTAGAAGCAATAGCACTCTATATGTTTTTAAAGAATCGGCTACTCATCGAGATCAAACTGCTTGAGCTTCCTGCGCAGGGCGATGATGGGCTTCCGCGAGGCGATCGAATCGCTCATCCCCTTGTTGTTGTAGTGCAGCGAGGGATAATACCGGTGCTGCCGCAACAGGTCGGTCCGGGTGACCATGCCCACCAGCCGCTTCGTTCCGTCCTGCACCACCGGGATGCACCCCACGTCGTTTTCCAGCAAGATGGCTTCGACCTCGGCCATCGTCAGGCTGGCCTCGACCGTCTTGATGTGCTGCTTCATCCAGGCCTTGACGGTGGGACCCCGGCGGCGGCGTTCCTCCATGAACTTTTGCTGCTTCCGCTGGTTCTCCTTTTCTTCCGGGGACAGGCTTTCGTCCCCGCCGCTTCCACCGCTGGCCTTGTTCTTTTCTTCCTTTTCCTTTCTCTGGCGTTCCTGCCGCAGCCGCTTCTGTTCCTTGTTCCACATGCGCTGCTTGGCGGCGGCGACTTCCTTGTAGGTGACCAGGCCGATGACCTCGTTTTCTTCGTTCACCACCGGGAGGGCCCGGACGTCGTACCGGTTGAAGAGGTCTTCCACCTGGTTTTCCGACATGTCCGACTTGACGCTCAGGACGGGAGAGGTCATGAAATCCCCCACGGTCGATTGCTCCTGCAGGCTCGTTTCGATGAGCTCGTCGACGAGCTTCGACATGATCCCCGCGGCCTCCGATTCGTCGTTCAGGCGGACCGTGGCGGAGGCCGCCTTGGGGTGGCCCCCGCCGCCGTAGTTTTCCAGGAGCTTGCCCAGCTTGACCGATTTCATGTTCACGCCGGGCTTGGCCCGGCCGATGATGATGAGGGTGCTCGGGGGCGACGGCGGCGTGTTTGGGGGCTGCGCCGTGGAGTTGCCCGAGTCCAATGGCTGCTGGTCCCCTCCCCCGGTCCGGGCCAGCGAAGAGTTCTTGACCGCGCTGGCAAAGGCCTTGAACTCGTCGAAATCGACCACGCCGTCCTTGTTGGTGTCGATGGACTCCATCAAACCGAGGACGGTGTTTTCCGTGGCAATGATCCCGGAGGCCACCAGGGCGGCCGAGAGTTCTTTCTGGTCGATGAAGCCGTCCTTGTCCAGGTCCTTTTCGTCAAAGGAGGACCGCAGTCGTTCTTCCGCTACCCGCTTCTCCTCCAGCGCGAGGGTGAGCTCCGACTTGTACATGCCGGACGGGGACAGGGATTTCATGGGAAAGGAGGCCAGTTCTTTGGCCCTCTTTTCCTCCTCGGCCTTGGCCTTTGCTTTTGCCTTGGCGGCCGCCGTCATGAGCAGCTTGGACTTGACGTTCTTTCCCGGTTCCCTGGACTTTTTGCTCCGGCCTCCCGACTTGGGTTCGTAGACGACCCCCAGCAAGAAGACGTCCGACGAGCTGAGGTCCAGGGCGTCCTGCGTGACGGCGGCCAGCCCGTTGATAAAGCCGTCGGCCGTCAGCAGAACGGTGGAGATGGTCACCCCGTGGGCGACCGTGGAATTCGTGTTGACCAGGGCCTGCGTCAGGACCTTTTGCTGCTCGGGGCTGAGGGAGGACTGGGCGTGCTCGGCAATGGCGATCTGGCTGGCCCCCTGGGCCATGACCCAGGCCAGGGCGGAGGCGTCCCGCGGCGTGGTGGAATCGAAGCAGAGGCTCCCCGTGTCGGCGTGTATGCCGAGGGCCAGCAGCGTGGCCTCCGCCTCGGTGAGGGTGGTGATGGGCGAGGAGGAGGACTCGAGCTGCTGGCTCAGCTGCCTGTCCTGCTGCTCCATGAGGCGCTCGACGATGAGGGTCGAGACGGAGCCCACCTGGTCGACCACGTAGTCCGTGATGCCGGGAATGTCCGAGTCCTGGTCGACGTGGTGGTCCACGACGGTGACCCGGTCGGCGTGCTTCAGCAGGACGTCGGCGGGCCCGATGCGCTCCTTCCGCTGGGCGTCCACCAGCGCCAGCCGGTGGAGCTTGGAGAGGTCCTTCGGGAGGGACTTGAGGGAGCGGATCGGAAAGAGGTGCTTGTGGAGGGCCAGGAACCGCTGGACGGCGGGGTGGGCACCCCGGGGGAGGACCACAAAGGTCGGGTAGTTGTCCAGGGAGCTGTCGTAGGTGTCGCTGTCGCTGCTTTCGTCGTCGTCGGTTTCGTCCCCGTCCGGTCGGTTCGTGTTGGTCCACAGCTTGGCGAGTCCCACGGCGCTGGCCAGGGAATCAAAGTCGGCCGTGCAGTGGGTCAGGACCACGTTGAAGCCGTCCAGGGGCCTCATGTGGATTGGCGTGTCGGCGACGGCGGGTCGAACCGCCTGCGGCTGTTTTGCTTTTGCTTTTTGTTTTGGTTTCTGTTTCGGGGCCTGCCGGTCCCTTTCCCGGTTGGCAACGGTGGGTTCCTTCGCCGCCGCCGGTGCGGAAGCCGCCCCCAGGGAATCGGTTTCCAGGGAATCGGTTTCCAGGAGCGGGGAGTCCCCGCCGTTTCGCTTTCGCTTTCGCTCAAAGTTCCTGAAAAAGACCTCGTCCTCTTCTTCCTCCACCGAGCGGATGCTCTCCTTGTATTTCTGGTACTCGGGGTCCGTCGAGGCCATGCCGGCGGAGTCGATCGAGGCCGCGATGGTGGACTTGAGGTTGCGGTTTCCCAGGGCCGTCCCGGCCTCGTCTTCCCCGGTCGCCATTGCCAGGCCCGCGCAAAAGCCCTTCCTCGCGCGGGTCCGCTTGGGGTGAAGCTTCCTCCGCTGGGTGCCAGGGGTCGGCGACGAAGAAAAACAAGAAGACGAAGAAAAACACGAAGACCACCTCAGGGGCTCCCGGATCGGAAAGGCGTCCGTGGCGATCCTTCGCGTCGTCGAGGCCATCGCCAGGAAGAGGGCCCCCCCGATCAGCACGAGGCGAATGTTCACCCCCGTCGGGTGGGAGACCGTCCTGCCCTTTCGTCGTTCTATTCGTCTCCGCATCCTTCTCGCGTTGTACGTATATAGTACGTATATAGTACGTATATATTTGTTGTATAGCTTTGTTTCGTTCTTATCGGACCATCGATGTTGTAGCTTACGGGGAGGAGAACGCAACGCAAAACACGAACGGAACAGGTACTGGTATCGTATCGGATGGGTGGCGCGTCGGTCTCTACTGGTTGCGACAGTTGTGTTCCCTCGGGCTTTCTCTGGTGTGCTGTTGCGCAAAGCGAACGGAAAGGAAGGAACGAAGGAATCGGTCTCTCGAACAAACGGTCTTTGGGACACTCTAGAAGATGCCTAGTGTTGGCTGCTTTCTGTGGTCTGGGGTGTCCTGCGGTGGTTCAATAGCGATTTGGCTTCCTCGTCGAGGTTTTCACGATTTTTTCGGACGGTGTTGCGTACGAGTGAGTACAGTACCTTTGTACGGTACGAGTTACGAGTTTGTTGTTCGAGAATGGGCGTTTGGTGTGGTGAATAAAAATAGTACGAGTACGAGTACTCGTACTGCTACTGCTCGAACCCACCGCTGTGTGTCAAGGCCGGAGACAGGTTCGTGGGGTACGTACGAGTGCGTAGAGAACACTACAGTACTACAATACGATGTGTACGGCGTCGTGTTCTCCACTCAGGTCTGATCAGGTCAGGTCAGATCGAATCCTACTAGTGCAACACGGTGCATACTACGAAGAACAAGTCAGAACGCGGGGGAGGGGCGGGGGGGGCTTCACGAAACGAAGGAGATGATGTCACAACCCTCGCTGCGCTACGCTACTCGAAAGATTGATCGAGGAGGAATGGGTTCTTGTTCCTTCCGCTCTGGCCTTCCCACCGTTCGGGGTTCGGCCCAAAACACGAAAAACTGCTGTACGGTACGATATTCGTTGTACGAACGGTACGAACGTACCTGATCGCCGTGCTCTGGCCTTCGTCCTTTTTCGTTTTTAGACGCAGAATGAATAATCGAAAAGCAATTCCGCGTTCGGTTTTCGAGATGCTTTTCGAATCGTTCTGTCAAGTACTTGTACTTCTAACACGAAACAGATCGCAAAAGCAGAACGGATCGGAGCGGAACGTGTACCAGTAGAGTTTTCATACAGTAGTTCGTCGCAGAACGACCGATCCATGCTGTTTTGAATTCACCCGGCACCGAAAAAAGACACCCGGGATTGCAACCCCACACACCTTCCGAAAACCAGCGACAGCGGGACCAACCCAAAAAAGGATTCGAAACGCTTTGCACCGAGAGGTTCTTGCCAACAGAGCATTAGTAGTGTTGTGCCCCCGTGGCCCCCCCAGCACCGATCCCCGCTTTCGCGGCAAGGGCAACGGCAGGATCAGGATTCGCAGATCGCTAGCGGTTCGTTCGTTTCCGACCGTTGCCGATCCTTGCACTGTCGATCCATTGCTGAATGTTCCAGTTCTTCTCGTTATTTTCGTTGGATTGATTGATTTGATTCATTCCATCGATCGATCGATCTACCCGGGATGTCGGAGGCCGACGAGATCGAGCTGCGCGCGCGCGAAAAGATTCTCGCGCGGCGTCGTGCGTCCGCCAACCAAAAGAGGGATCCTCCGCCGAGGGAGGAGGGAGGCGCCGGAGGACCAAGCAGCAGCAACAACAACAACAACAAACCCAGCGAGGGCGGCAGCAGCAGCAACAAAAGCAGCAAGAGCCGCAGCAACAAGACCAACGATCCGGCTTGTCGTTCTGCTTCCAAGAAAGAAGGATACAACGAGTCCAAAACCGGCAACAAGCGCGGCCCACGCCAAAGACACACCAAACAGAACACCACCAGCAACAGCCACAACCGCAGGGGCACTACCAACACCAACAGCAGCAGCAGCAGCATCCCCAAGCACACCAACACCAAAACCAAGAAGAAGAAGAAGAGACGCCGCAACCCGCCCTTCCGAATGAGTCCGGACCAGCGGAGCCCACGGGACCGGTCCCGGGGAAGCGGGCGAGTCCCCCGCGGCGGTGGCCCCCTCCCCTACCGCGACGAGTTTGGCCGGGTCCCCAGCGGGAGGGGGCCTCCCCCGCCCGGGGGAGACCGGCGCTACGGAAGAAGCGATGGCTACGGAGGCGACCGCTACGGCGGCCCACCCCCCTACCGGAGCGGGCCCCCGCTCCCCCCCCGGAACCCCCGGGGACCTTCCCACCGCGAACAAGGAGCCCCTGCCGGGGGCGGCCTTCCCCCCCGGGACCGGGGGCTGCAGGCGCCCTACGACCGGGGGCCTCCGGGCGGCTACGGGCACGACGACCGCGGGTACGGAGGCGACCGCGGCTACGGACACGGATACGGATACGACCGCGGGTTTGAATACGACCGGGGCTACGGATACGACCGCGGATACGAGCACGACTACGGCCCGGAAGCCCTGCCCCCCCGGAGGCCCCGCCGGAGCCCCGAGCGCTACGCCAGCAGCCGGAGCCGCAGCAGGAGTCCCTCGAGCGGAAGCCACGCCAGCAGCGGGTTCTCCTCCGCGTCGTCGTCGTCCTCCCTGTCGACGAGGAGCCGGAGCAGCTACGGCTCCCGGTCGAGGTCCCGGTCTCTCTCCCGGTCCGTCTCGAGGTCCCGGTCCCGATCGCTGTCTCGGTCGAGGTCCCGGTCGCGCTCCCCGTCCGCATCGAGGTCTCGCTCGCGCTCTCGCTCGCGGTCCCGGTCCCGGTCTCCCCCGCCGATCGACGACAAGAAGGACGGCGAAGCCTCGGCCGCGGACCAAGAGAAAAGGGCGACTCCCGAGAAGAAAGCCCCGGCGGAACCACCCAGCGCAGAGAAAAGCGGGGATGCGGCCGCCACCAAGAGCCCGGAACCGAACGCAAAGACCACCCAGGACCAGACCGTTTCGCCATCCTCGTCCCGGGGCCAGAAGCGCCGGGGGAGCCATAGCCGGAGCCGGAGCCGGGAGTCCTTCGATTCCCGAAAGGCCCGGAGGCGCCGCCACAAGCGGTCCCGGTCGATCTCCGCCTCGCGGTCCCGATCGCCGGCCTACTCCCCGGGCTCGGCCGGGGGGTACTCGACGTCCTCGTCCCGCTACTCCCGCGAGAAGCGCCGCAGGGAAAAGAAATCCAGGCGCCGCAGGGACAGGGACCGGCGCGGGTCTTCCCCGAGGCGCGGCGGAGACAAGGACGAAACCTCGATGGCCTTTTCCAAGGACCAGCGGACGGTCTTTGTCTCCCAGCTGGTCATGCGGACCACCGAGCGGGACCTCAAGAAGTACTTCAAGCGCATCGTTGGCTGCAAGGTCAACGACGTCATCCTCCTGAGGGACAGGCGCAACGCCCGCAACCACAAGGGCTGTGCCTACGTCGAGGTCGGCCGCATCGACGACGTGGCCCGGGCCGTGGGGGTGTCCGGCCGGCCCCCCGACTTTCAGCGGTTCCCCATCCTCGTCAAGGCCTCGGAGGCCGAGAAGAACTACACGCAGCACCCTTCCGCCGCTTCGGGCGGGGCGAACCACAAGGCAGCGGCGGCGCCGTCCGGCACCGCTGCGTCCACCTTCCTCCCCCCCCTCCGGGACGAGACCGGCCGGCTCATCGAGTCGCAGAAGGTGTACGTGGGGGGACTCGACCCCTCGGTGGGGGAGGATCACCTCCGCGCCCTCTTTTCGCGGTTCGGGACCCTCCACGGGGTCCACTTGCAGACCGACCCGACCACCCGCGCCAGCAAGGGCTACGCCTTTCTCTCCTTTCGGGACCCGAAGGTCAGCCACCTGGCCATCCGGACCATGGCCGGAAAGCTCCTGGCCGGCCGGCCCCTCAAGACGGGCTGGGCCAACCAGAACCAGCAATCGGCGGCCAGCATCGCGGCCGGGTGCACCATCGCCACCTCGGACCGTTTTCCCGAAGACGCCCCCGCCCTGGCCAAGGAGGCCCTCTCGGTCCTGGCGCAGATGACGGGAGGTGGCGTGGTTCCAGCGGAAGCGGAAGCGCAAGCGGTCCTTGCCCCAGCGGCCGATCCGTCGGCCCTCTCGGCCGTGGCCGAGCAGGAGCTGGACAAGGCCATGGGGCTGTCGGCGGGAGCCGGCACAACCGCCGGAATGGTTGCCCAACCGGCCGGCCTCTCGGGAATGCCCACGGTCGCGGAGGCCAGGGCGAGCCTCGCGGCCGACGTCGTGGCCCGCCAGCTGGCGGCGGCGACCGCGGCCAGGTCAAGCTTCATCCGCGGCCGGGCCGCCCCGACCCGCCACCTGATGGTCCACAACATGTACGACAAGGACCAGGAGACCGAGGCCGGCTGGGAGAAGGACATCGAGGAGGAGTTCCTCGGGGAGTGCTCCAAGTTCGGGACAATCGAGCGCGTGACGGTCCTCCACGACCAGCCGGGGGGGAAGATCCGCGCCACCTTTGCCGACGTGGGGTCCGCCAGGAACTGCGCGGAGAACCTCGCCGGCAGGTGGTTCGACCAGCGGCAGCTCACGGTGGACTACCTGCCCGGGGACGGTGAAGAGCCGGAGGCGCAGGCGTAGGCGGATCCGCGTGTTCGAAGGGTGCGGTGGCGGGGAGGGCAACGGATCGCGGCAAGGAGACCGAAAGGATGAAGCAGTGCAGTGGTTGACGACGTCAATGGCATAGCGAAGAGCACGAAGAATGTACTAAATTGAACCGAACCGAAATGAAATGGACTAAATTGAATTGAATTGAATTGAATTGAATTGAATTGATTCGAATTGAACTGAACTTATCTGATCTGATCTGAAAAATTGAAATGAATGAACCGATGAATGAATGAATGAACTGAATGATCCCCTCAATCACGCTAACACTATCCTTATCACATTGACAACATATACGCTGCATATTTCCTGTCAGGCCTCCTATTACAGGTTTCAAGCAAGCGAACGACAAGAAACGGACCGAATCGAATGGAACTGCGTTGTCTGGATTGCCTTGTGCTGTAGCATTGATCGCTAGTTTGGCTGTTCGGAAAGCGACAGAATACGGGACGAAGGAATGCGGTGCACCGGAAAGTGGTGATTGGTGACAGAAGCGGAACGAAGGTATTGACGGGGATGGGTCGAAATACTACAGTAGCCCCCGTCCAAAGCTCACTCTACATTTGTCTTGTGCGTGCCCGTCCTTCATCCCAGACATATATACACAAACACACATTGTTTTTTACATTACATTCCAGGGAGGAGATGGCCTGCACGAGACCCGATGAGATTCTACCGTACAGTATTTCAAGGTTGGATTGGATGTGATGCAATGCGATGCGATGCGAAGCGAAGCAATGGGATAAACACGGAACGGAACGGATCGAACGGAATTTGGTGCTACCTGTTATAAGCAGAGGAACTTCGTTTGTTCAGAAAATCTAAGAAGAAAGGGACCAAAAGCATTCTACTTTGTTCGATTCACGTAAATTTTATATATTTAACACTATAAGAACTCATTCATTGTCATTGGTAGTAGTTCTTCATACCGTCTTTCGTTTACGCTGCGATCTGCCGAGATCCAATCGTATCGTGTCGACCCCCTAGTCAGTCACCACTAGATGGTGTTCCACCGCCCCCTCTCCCATCCAGAGGAGTCCATCGTGCCCGGGCCCCGCGGCGGAGGGACAACCCACCCACCCAAACACGAGCCTACCAATACAGGGGCCCGTTCCCTCCGTAGACGGTCCTGGCAAAGGCCCGCTTCTGCCGCGCCCTGTGGAACGGGGCCTCCAGCTCGGTCACCCACGCCGGCAGCTCGTCGAGGGACGCGTGGTCGACCACCAGGATCCCGTTCAGGTGGTCGAGCTCGTGCTGGAAGGCCCGCGCGGCCTCCCCGCTCAGGGCCCTGCGGACGGGCCTTCCCGTGGGGTCCTGCGCGGCTACCTCGACGACGGCGTCCCGCAGGAGGTCGACCCCGAGAAGGCCCTCCGTCCGGTCGGCAGCGGCGGCCGGGGGCGACGCCGCTACCACGCCGCAGTGCTCGCGCCAGGCGAGCATCTTGTCCTCGCCCGACCGCGCCAGGACGCTGGGGTTGACCAGAACGAGGGGGCCTCCCCCCGGTTCGGGCGAGGCATCGCCGCGGAGGACGACGATCCGGGCGTCGATGCCGTACTGAACGGCGGTGGTCGCGTTTCCGACCATGGCGTTGGAGAGGAGGTCCACCACCCCATCGAGCTCGCTGCTCCCGAGGGCGTTCCGGACCGGGGAAGCAACGTTGCGGAGGGCGGGATCCGGGTACCGCCTCAGCCTTCCCTCCAGGGAACCGAGCCGGGACGCCGATTCTACCGAGAGAAGAGGATCGGCAATGTCCGGAGCAGGGGAATCCGCCGCGGCCGCCGCCGTTGTGGTGGTGGCTTGGAACAGGCCGGCCGATGCGGCAACGGCCAGGGGAGCATCAACGAGAATCGCCCTTCGCCCACAACCATCGGGCGGCAACGGCGACGAGGATCCTTTCGGGGAGGCCTTCAGCAGGGGTCTCAACAAAGCAGCGGCATGGTCGATCCAAACGCCGCAAGACGCGGCGAAAACGAGGGCTGCTTTGCAAGTAGTTCGGTGCATGTCGATGCCATCGTCTCGTCGTGCTTGTTGTATGACAAGATGCCGATACACCTTTTTCCAGAAAATGTCGCGCCACTGCCTGTGAGCCTAAATCACGAGTAGATAGTGAATAAGCTCACTCTTTATTGTAAACACGTAGTTATACGGCACTAAAGAGCACACGTACATTTTGCAGGTTATGAGCAACAACAGCAACAGAACTGCCTCATATGCTCATCAGACAACATTCCACAAAGAAAGCACTTACATCTTCGGAGGAATCACTACCTCCGCATTCGGTCCTAAAGCAAAGAAACGATCTTGCTTAACAGTCCGGAATCCTCTACCGCCAGAATTTTTCGACAACTTCTGGTGCGAACTACGTACAGAAAACACGTAGAAAACTGGATTTCAGAATCCAGAACCCTGGTGTCAACACCCTAACAACACCAATAACACCACACTAACATAACTGCATCACGACCACAGTCGACAACAGTAAACAACCGAAATGCCGCCCCCACCAGTCAGCAAAAAGCGATCCAACAAAGGCGGGTATACCCCAAAAACACAAATCAGTCGTTACCTAATAAAGACACCGTCACGTTCCCCAGCAAATCCAAAGCTGCAACTCACCGGCTACGATGGCAACATCCAACGTGAAATACGGGCCCTACAATTAGTATTCCCCAAACGGTCGGATCCTACGATATATGATAAGACCCTCTTCCAATTCAAACCCAAATACCCCCCAACACCGATCAATTATTCCTCCCTCATCAGCGTCATACACACACAGTCTCTCTCCGATACGGATAAGATTGTGGCCTTAGGAGACACACTGAAGGAACTCATTCATCGTAACCATTTCAGGGTTCCCCCCACCAGTACACCGTTGGATAGATATCAATACAGTGCAGCTCTGATTGCATACATGGACACACTCCTTCCACCAGACAAGGATACACCCCCTGTGGAAATCACAACACGTAGACAATCCAGACCACCGGCACACCTTGTCCCCAGCCCAGCTAGTACCAGCCCAGATCCACCATCGAGTGAGGAACTTCAAAGACAACATCCCCTACTGGAAGATACCGATGAAGCTAACAAACACTCCCCCACGAGTGCGGTGAATACGACTGAAACCGGTGTAGATACCGCCGATACACACAAACCAGCCACACAGAAGGACGTGGACACCAATGCAGCAGCGGCACAGGATACAGCTCAACTTCACGACGACTCCTCTTCCACATCCATCGAAGTGGCACCAACAGACCTCCAGCAACGATTTGCACAGGAAAGGCACCGAGCAACGAAAGGAGACAAACCCCTCACCACTTCCACTCCAGCCCTTGATGCCAACCAGCAGGATGAAGCCTCAACTATGACTGAAAGATTAGTCACCCTTGAAAGGACATACGATACCATTGATGCAGAGCTTCAGTCCATCCAGGACAGCATAAAGACCCCTACCAGACCACCACCGACCTCAACACCACCGACGGCGCCTGACTGGGCCCAACACCTTGCAACCCTTGAAACTCGCATCCACACAATGCAACAGACCTTTGATAAGACAATCCATGAGACCTCTGTGGAACTCTCCAACACACAAAAAGAACTCGCTGATACCAAAACGGCTTTACAAGATGCACAGGATGCAGTCCGTGCCCTACAGCAGCAACTTCAGTCAGTCTCGCGGGCTGATACACTTGAGAAAGACATAGAAGCAGCCGCAAATACAGCCTGGGCCCTGGACCAACGCACAACAAAAGCATCCACTGTCTTAGAAACTATCATTAACGAGACCGTACACCTTAAACACCTCAGGGACGAGGCCAGTAGCATCACCACTAAAACTCCCACTACTACTGAGTTGACCCGCAAACTGGACACATTGGTAGAACAACACCTCACCACACTTCAACAGCGAGGCCAAGTTATTGAAAAGCAAATCACCGCAGCAGTACTGGAACAAACCCGAACCTTGGAGGAATCTTTCGAACAAACGATCCAGGACATGATCCAAGATAAACTGGAACATAAAAACCATATTGTCCAAAGTATAAAGGATACTGTCATTGCACAAGCAAAACGGGAGATTAGTTCCCAAGTAACCACAACACTACACCAACTCAATGCGGATCTCACCAAGACTAAGCATGACATACACCAAACATGCAATGACCACATCACCAAGTTGACTTCCCATAAACAGGCACTCACCTTGGACCTGGATCAATCCATTGCAGTCGCACACGAAGGAATCGACCTCGCTAAATCACTAGCCGAGTCTACAATTGAAGAATCAATAAAGCAGCACATTACCAACGATGTATCCGTTAGCGACACCATATCAACAAAAGTCTCAACATCACTGAATAATATATTCAACTCACCAGATTTCCGTAAAGAAGTGGACAACACCATCCACTCATATGTTTCCACATCGAGTGCGTTGAAAGAATACATTACACACCAGGTCAATAATGTAATCAAGACACAGCCAGGACCCACCACTATTCCCCCCAAACCCCCCAGTGAACCACAGCATCCACCGAACCCGAAGGATAGATCACAGCCGTTGGGGAATACACCGCAGCAAGCAGCCGACAAACAATCTCGATGGGGATCACGTGCACAAGCCGCTGCCAATGCGGACAGGAGTGAGAGCGATAGGCGTTTCGATAGTTACATACACCAAAAACAGGACATTATGGAGGAAAACACTATTCATCGCCAGAATCATCGCATCAGTAAAGCACTTCATGCCCTGGACTTTAAAGACCTGGACCATAATCTCATCCCAACAACGAATCGATACTTAACCTCGGCAGAGTTCTCTGAACTATACAACGAAATTCATACTATGATGTCCTTTGAGAGCCTCCCAATAGCATCATTGGATGAGCTTCCCACCTGGCAATCATGCCTCCCACCCAATCATAAGGAGACGGATGCAAATATCCTAAAGATCAGCATGTATATATACAGACGTCTCACTCGTCTCATTCCGATAAAGGAAAATTCCCTCTTACGTGGCCTCATTGCCCCCTACTCAATTAACAGCAGAGGTTATGACGCACTGTATGCACTGGCCCGCCACTCACTGGACTACTTAAAGCCAATCCAAAATGGCTGGGGACCAACGTGGACCACTGAAGATGACCCTGGTACATACGTTGGTAAACTCCTCGATCACGTAAGATCGAGCCAACTGGGACACAAACATACATACACAGAACTTGACCAATGCCATGAACTGATATACCAAACGATGACCCACTATAATTATGCTGCGGGATGCTGTCTCCTAGTACAACTCGATAATCACCGGAGGATGACACCTGATGCACGCAATCAACCAGTCCCTGACCATCTCACTCTTACGAATATGATCAACTTTATCATCGACACACCGGATGTGCATCGTGCTAAGGACCAGATCAACACGACACCAGTTATCTCCAAGGTGGACAACACTACCAAACGACGCTTCGAATACAAAAACAAAGTTCAATGCGCCTGTTGCCACCTATATGGACACAATGTTGGTGATCAAATCTGTCGCTTTGGGGCCCAACTGCATTTTGCCCAACAATACGCCAAGGATAAACCTGACGCGTTCCGCCAAAATGCGATTAAACACAACAACATGAACACTGCTAATGTAGTCAATCACTTTGAACGCAACCTTCATGGACGGCATGTCACTCAATTGCAACACGAAACAGAACGCGAGGAACTGGCACACCTTTTTACTACGACACCCATGGATCCCACTGAGGAATAGGATTCATGCCGTGTCTCTAGCGAGGCACGGCCCAGTCGATGGCTCAGCAATTTGGACAATGACAACGCAAATAGCCCACGAATCCCACACACAGACGATGCAGACCGTCCACGACCTCCACGGACCGACTCACGAGGATTCCCATTCCCACGGCAAACACCTCACGATAACGACATCTTTCGACACAATACCAAACGAGATCCTCCACTAACTCACTCACCATGGTCGATAGCTCACGCTAACCAAACCAACATTATGAGATCAGTCCAGTATAACGATCCTCGTGGGGGACAAGGAAAAACCGCAAGCCCTGATCCCCCAGTACAGTCCTTACGCAACCCTACACAGCCTGACAAAGACCCACCCACGTCCGTTCCGCCACTTCACGGTACTGCACCTACGACAGGCCCACAGTATGTACAACACCGTACGGAAACTACACGCGATGGACATGGGACGCATATGTATACTCTCGCACAAGCCCTAACTGATACACCGTGTCACCAATGTCACTTAACGACGCCGACGGACACTCCACTAAAACAAAACCTACCATACAAGCCTTGCGGGAATGACCTTACGCCCTTCATGTTCCATAAGGACTCATTAGCTTCTGAATATAACTCTTGCCACCCGGCTATCCGAATGATACACTCCACACATAGACGCAACACGCGCAACCATATAAGGATCTCCCATAACGACTCATACACACTCAAAACCATGAAGAGCGTGGGTAGTAGTCACCCTACGATGCCCCTACAAACAGACACTGGTGCCAACATATCAGCCACGAATCAACGCGAGCTACTCCATGAATATAAGCCATACTCAATCCCGGAACCAGTTGGGGTATTCTCAGCAGATGACACGCTCGACCACTCATTCCAGGCACATGGTGAGGGCTATATGAAAATTATCTCTGACCAAGGCCACATAATGAACTGGCACACGCTATACACACCAAAATCTACTGGAACGGTCATATCCCCGGATCACTACCAGCATGCACGTAAATTCTACGCATTTCAACAGGAGGGGGGACTAAACAGCAAAGGAACTATTCGTTTCATTAACCAGCTCAATGATACTGTTGAATCCATCCAAACAGTCCGTAACAATGGCCTTTGGTACTCCACTAACCGCCTCCTGGTCCCCAATGCACTGGAGAATGAACACGTCGTGCGGGAGCTCCAACGATTCCGAAGTGAGGTGAGTAAGGTCCAACAAAAACACATACAAGGTGAACGCGAACCCCCGCAACGCACCACAACGTGGTCTTCTGGCCTATCCAAAGCATTAAAGAACCTTGAGCTCTGGCATCAGCGGTATGGACACATCTCCCCCGCCACTCTGGTCAAGACGCAGAAAGTTGTGGAAGGGATGCCACCAATCCCCTCCAGTACGCCATACTTCCGATGTCCATTCTGTGAAAAGAGCAAAATGACAAAATACGCCGGCAAACAGGGTAATACACGAAAGGAACAATTTATCCCCATGCAATCATTGCATATGGACCTCTCCTTTGTCAGTGGCCCCCCTAACTTAACTAAAATAGTTCGTAACCAGGAAAAAGCCCTCCCTACACTTAAGAAGAGTAGACAGGGCCACATTGGATTTCTAACCATTATTGACGCTGCAACTCGAGCTCTCTGGACCTTTCCTATAAAGAACAAGGAACCCCCACTAAAAATCATTGACCAATTCCTGTCCAAACATGGTATCCGCAACACGGACCCCCGGAAGGCTTTTATTACAACAACAGATGATGGTTACCTAGCAAGGTCACGGGCATTCTCCAACACCCTCCGAAACCACAACTACACTCTCACGCCACAAGACAGAGGATATTTTCTTCACCTACTCCCCCAACACCTTGACTGCACTATCATGACGGATGGCGGTGGAGAACTAGCAAACTCATCACAGTTCAAACAAACCATTGACTCTCATGGCTACACATCACTCACCACGGCGGCCGACACCTCCTCTCAAAATGGCATGGCTGAGCGTCCCCATAGAACACTCAAGGAAAGAATTCGATGTCTCCTGTATGCTGCAGGCCTAGGCACCGAATACTGGACAGATGCCCTACTCCATGCAACTTGGCTTTACAACCGAACCTACCACAGTGCTATAGGTATGACACCTCTTCAACTCTATACAGGACAAATTCCCCTGGTTGATAACCTCATCACTTTCGGATCTAAGATAACAGCAAAGAAGCCAGGTACGAGACCCACCACCACTAATCCCTGGGCCTATGATGGCATCTTCCTGGGCTATGGACCGACCACAGACAACATTAAATACTTCGATATTCACACACACACTGATAAAATAGCCCGACATGACTCGAAGGATGAACTACAGTATGGGGATATACCATCTAACAGGTCCCCAGCAGCCTCACACCTCCTTGAAACATTCACTGAAGGCGACCACAAGGATCACTGTACCAACACGGAACCAGAACGCCTCCATCTCACGTTCAAAGACCCACGACAGCGAGATCCAGATACTATCATACAGGAGATCATATCAGACTCACCTCAACCGTACACTGCAGCAGCTGCAGCCAAAGTCAAAGCCCAAATTCACCGAACTAAATTCGAACGCCCGGATATTGCCGCATTAATCCCCGAGCTGGACCAATTGGATATCTCCACCAATCTATTTATAACTGAAATATCGCACACGCTTCCCCTTAAGAACACCCACACCATTCATCCCACTATGGGCTTTATTGTGAGCAGTCATCCTGATATCTCCAATGCAGTAGAACTAACCTCCATTCAGGTCGGTACCATTGCTCACACACGTATAAGGGGCTGGAAACGCAAACTTCGAGGCACTATCATCACTTCAGTGGATGATAAACCCATTCGATGCCGACAGGATATCATTGATGCAATCCAACATGCTAAAAGAAATCACTGCACATCCATTCGGTTTGCCTTTGGCACCCTCACAGGCTTTGCCATCAACGGTGAAGGAGTCCCTACACTCCAGGCTGATCAACTCAATGTAATTGCTCATCACTTACACCATCTTAACCACAAACAAGATCTGTGGCTCAACAAACAGGATTGGCCAGTCCCCATCGATGCCCCGGAGACAACCACTGAGCAGCTCAGGATATCTAAACTCACGCGCCGCAAACTAATGGGAACAGCACAATGGGATGGATTCCTCCATTCGGAATGGAAACAGCTCAACCGCTACCACAAAGTGGGAATGTTTGGAGACCCAACTACAGCCACCAAGGACATGACTATTCTTCCATGGGTATGGACATATATTGAAAAAGAAAATCCCCTCACAGGTACTGCTGAACCAAAATCGAGGGGCACCTGTAATGGTGGTAAAAGATATGGAAAAGCAGTTACTCTAGCGGAGACCTATGCAGCCTGTGTTGAACAACCAATTCATCGACTCACATGGGCCCTGGCTGCGGCCTTGAACCTTATCTGTGTTGGATATGATGTAGGCAATGCTTTTGCTGAAGCCCCAGCACCAAAGTCCCCTTTTTATATGCGTGTTGATGAACCGTTTCAACAATGGTGGACAGAATGTCTCCATAAGCCCCCTATTGCACATGGACAAGTCATCCCCATTAAGAAGGCCCTCCAAGGACACCCGGAATCACCGAGGCTTTGGGACAAATACATCTCCGGCATTCTTACCAAAGATCTTGGCTTTAAACCAACTACACATGAACCATGTCTTTACTATAAGCATGACCACAATGGCCTCACCCTGATTCTCCGACAAGTTGATGATTTCCTTATAGCCAATGCACAGGAATCGGTCTGTGACACTATTCGGGGCCTTATTCAGGACAGAATGACCAACCCCTTGAATATACTGGGCACAATCAGAAAATTCAACGGTATTCATGTAGACCAAACACGGACATATAATCATCTCCACTGCTGCAGCTATATAGAACGGATATGCGAACACCACGGATGGACAGCAATTACGGCTAAACGGAATACACGCAGTCGACCAACACCCATGAAAGAAGACGCTTCTTTTCAGAAAAAGATACAATTAACTAAAGGCCCGGAGGATCCATTCGATGCACTTAAACTTCAACAATCTGCAGGATTCAATTATCGCCAATGCATAGGGGAGCTAATCTATGCCCTCACAATATGCCGGATTGACATCTCTATTGCCGTTATTACATTAAGCCAACACTCACATTCCCCAGCAAAGATACACTATGATGCTGTCAAATCACTATTTTACTACCTCCTCACAACAAAAAGAGATGGTTTAACATACTGGAGACCTGAACCGCGTATGGATTTGCCTGCTCAACCCCTCCCCATCCCCCTCACGGAGACCTCTAAGTTAACTAAATTCTATCAATCAACAGACCCCCTCCAAATTCATGGGGCCTGTGATACTACGTGGGCATCAGATCGACTCCAAAGGCGCTCAATGGGTGGTGTAATCATGATGCTAGCAGGAGCTGCCGTATATTACCGAACACGGCTCCAACCAACTATAGCACAAAGCTCCACTGAAGCGGAGTTCACTAACATGGCGGATGCTGGAAAAGCAGCTCTCTACCTCAGATGGATTCTAGAGGAATTACACCTTGCACAAACCACTCCAACACCTATTATTGCAGATAACCATGGTGCAGTTAGAATGGCTAATGCACATCAACCAACCAGAAGAACAAGACACGTGGAAATGAAGCACTTTGTTATTCTCCAATGGACTGATGATGAACATATCAACTTTGTGGAAACGCGCTCTGATGAAAACTACAGTGACTCACTGAGCAAACCAACTGGAAGGACAAAATTCCTTGAACACACCGATATATTCATGGGAAGATACCAACCAGATTACACAACAAACACACTGACACCATCTGCTCTATCAAGCACACAACCCCATCCAATTAGTGAGGATAGAGCAGAAATACATACCTTTTCTACTCACAAACTTTACCAACGATCCCCTGAAACACACACCACATCATCTTGCTCCACTTGCAATCTAAATCCTCTATATGATCTACTACATAATAGTAGATTTGACTCATTTGAGTCTTTAGATTCTGCAAGTGCGGGGTGGTGTGAGCCTAAATCACGAGTAGATAGTGAATAAGCTCACTCTTTATTGTAAACACGTAGTTATACGGCACTAAAGAGCACACGTACATTTTGCACTGCCATCGGTCGTCGACTTGGAATGGATTCAATCGAATGAGTCAGACGCATTAAAAGGACGTTCCTGCCGGTATGATATACGAATTCGTACGTACGTAACGTATGGTACGTTAACTGTCCACAGTACCTACCATTACTTATTTGTTTTCTTCATCTATTCTAAAAGTTTCCTATTACTTTGACGGATACTTTTCTATGCGAGAAATTGCATCAATATTATGGTGTGTGTGTGTCCAGAGCCGATTTGTTTGGCAAGTATGGCAACTGCGGACCAGACCCTTGGACTACGACTCCAAAATTACTTGGGTTCGCCCGCTTAGTTTCGTTTCGTTTCGTTTCCTTTCGTTTCGTTCGTTCCCTCACAGAACGTCCCCCAGACACACCGCGGCCGAGTCCTTGGCGGTGCACGTGCCGGACCGCAGGTCGGGGGAGATGCCCACGCCCTGGATGTCCCGGCCGCCCGGCGTCGTGTACTTGGCCTTGGTGACGGCAATCCCGCTCCCCCCGTAGGACAGGGCCTGGACGTTCTGGATCCGCCCCTTGCCAAAGGTCCGGTCGTCGGAGGAGACCACCTTGGCGCGCGCGTTGTCCTGGAGGGCCGCCGCCAGGATCTCCGAGGCACTGGCCGTCCGCCGATCGACGATGAGGTACAGGGGGGTGGAGGTGTCCGTTTCGCTCCCGATCCCGTCGTTGATGTAGATGGTGGCCCGGCCGGTCTTGTCGACCTCCGAGACGATCCGGGCCCGGGGAGGCAGAAAGAGCTTGGCCACGTCGACCCCGGCCGGCATGTACCCGCCCACGTTCCCCCGGAGGTCGAGGGCGAGGATGGCGGGGGGTCCCTCGCTGGATGCACCGGTGCCGCTCTCCCGCACAAAGTTTTTCAGTTCCTGGCGGACGGCGGCCTCGGTTTCCTTGGTGAAGGAATTGATCTTGACGACGCCTACCTTTTGGTTGGATGGTGAGACGATGGATGTCGATGCCTCGATCATCGGGGTGGGGGCTATCGGCGTGCGAGTCACGGTCACGATCTTTGGGGAGGCCTCTGTCGCCGTTGCAGGAGATCCTTCGATGGCCGGCCGCTCGATCTCGATGGAGACGGAGGTCCCGATGGCCCCCCGGCACTTGGCAGCCACCACCTCCGCGGTAGCTCCGACCATGTCAACGCCATCCACGGAACGAATCTTGTCCCCCGGGAGGATTCCAGCTGTTTCCGCGGGGCTCTTTGCGATGGTATTGACGACCACCACCATTCCTCCTCCCCCCCCGCTCGCAGTGGACTTGCCGTTGTCGCCGATGAGCTGGACTCCGATCCCTGCCGTGGGTGCCGGAGCAGCCTCCGACCTGCCGGTGCCGGGGGTTGCGTATGCCTTGGTCATGGCCTCAAACTGGTCCGGGGTCAGAAATCGTGTATACGGATCGTTCAGGGTCTGGAGCATGCCCCGAATGACTCGATAGAGCTGGGCGTCGTCGTCAGGGCCCAGATCGGCGACCTTTCCCAGCGCCAGGGATCGCTGCTTGGCCCAGCCTTGTTCTCCCTGGCCGTTGAAGGTGGGATCGACGTACTGGCGGCTGACCTCCCTCCAGACATCGTCGACCAAGAGTTGGTCCGGTGTCAGAGCGTTGCAGGGCATCGGCGACACGGGCGTCGACGCTGGTCCACCGGCAGAGATTGCTACGGACAAGATGGCCGCAAAGACAGATGTGGCCAGTCGCTTCCAATTATTCGGAGGAGCAGCGCTGCTGGGACTGTTGTTGCTGCTATCAGAAATCGATTTGAGATCCGATGCCCTTCTTCTCCGGGATGATCTGCTGTTGAGAAAATCATCCGTGGTGCCTCGATTCCATCGTTTCCGACATTCCACCGCAGCAACGTCGGTCTGCCCGATCGGGAGCGTGGAAAATCCATGGCAGGGAAGGGGAGAGGAAACCAAAGCGATCGCGGCTCCAATAGCTGCGAAACATGCCACCGGATGTGTTCCGATGGCAAACGAACGATGACAAAGATTCGATCTCTTTTTCCTTCTACTTGTCGGCAAATTCGACATTTTTGTTGTCGTGTTCGTTGTCATGGCTTATTGGTGTAGCTCCAAGATGGCCTCTTGCCTTTTGATGCTTGTCTGTCAGTTGCGAGTGGGGGGATAACATAACTTCGAAATTAGTTGTGGTAAGTTAAGGATGCCTCATTTCCATTTTAGGAAGATGAGATCGAAAATGGATTCCGTACGGTACCGGAAACAAGAAGATGACGTTGTGAGAACACGACTGTCGCAAAAGCTCAAACGTGGGTAAAGAATTATACCTATTGATAATATCTATCGTAAATATTTTAAATATCTATGTTACGTATGAATACTAATACTAAAATGACCGTTGGGACGAAAAACGCAACTGCTTTTCAACATTTCGCAAACGCAACCATCATCATCAAACGTTCCACACAGGAAAATAGAGAGTGGCAGTGAGACTGGCAAGGGCATCAAGCCGAGGCAAACTAGTGAACCATAGTCGACAACACAAACGAGGCGACCAAACAAAAAAAGGCACCGCTTAGAAGCAAAAATCACATTTTGTCAGTCATATTTGTGTCGACATGGCCGCAATATCACGACACGGCCGACCGGGGAGCAAAAAAGTATGGTGCTTGTCACCGATCAATTTGCTCATCTGCTTCATGTTGGTGATGGGATTGGTGTATGTGCAAGTATCCGTGTGGATGCTCAGCGGATCGTTTTCGCCTAAATCATCCAACAGCAATAGTGGCCATTCCCCGAACGAGGTGCATCAACGACGGGTCAAGGATGCAGAAGAACTGACAAATTCACGCCAACACGAGCACGTACAAAAACAGAAACAACAACAAACATTATTAAAGCAACATTACTCCGATTGGCGAAAATATGCCGTCGAGCTTGCGGGGAAATTTCCGGAAGATATCATTCAGATCCTAAGAACGGAAGATCCCTTTGGGGTGCGAACCTTTGAAAAACGGCTCCTGGAAACAGAATCGAGCCAGGGACGATTTTTGACCCTGGAGGAACTCAAAGGCTTGTTCCCCTGCCCCGGAAACGAAGGAGAGCGGATCACCCTGCCCGACCAGAGGAACCACGACAAGGCCCAAGCCTTTCGAAATGGAACGGAACCCTATTTTCTTTTTTTCCAACACCTGCGAAAGGCCGGGGGGACGAATTTTTGCACCCTGGCCACGAAGAACTTCGAGAAAAAGAACCTCCCGAAGTATTATTGCAGTACGTACAAAATACGATGTGTTTTGCTGGCGAAGCATTCTTGTGTATTGCATGTGTTTTAGTGTGTTAGAGAGAGCCCCGATTCTGATGGGATTCGTTTTCTTTTTTCTTGCGTTGCTTCTGGACAATTCATCGATACAATCCATATGGACAAAAAATTAACCAACTGAAGTGCCCGACTACCATTGGGACATGACTCCTCCGCGAGGCGCGGGTTACCTTACGCGATACAAAAATTCAGAAATTATTCAGCACATGAAAGAAAATCAGCACAAAATTGCCGGAAACGAATGGGATCCCTTTGATCACAGTCGCTTCTTTGATCTTCCCGCTGCCTTTGCTACTTCTTTCCGGCGCCCACTAGATAGAGCCCTCTCGCAATTTCGGTTCGAGTGCATCGAAAACCGAGGATGCAAGATCAAAAACGTTACTAAGTGGTGGAACAAACGAAGGGATCTGACCGACGTTTATACCTGGACCTTTTCCAATGACGGTATCCGAAAGATGTTCATTGGGCATGACAAAGAAAGCTCAGAAAAACGGCAGGAACTCCTTGGAACAGCCCTCGACACGGTCGCCAAATTCAATCTAGTGATGGTAATGGAATGGCTTGCCTACGCACCCCAGCACGTCAAAGACGTCCTGGGCTTCCAAAACACAGCAACTCTTACCGAACGAGTCCGGCCACACATCGGACAGGCCAAGCGTCACGATGGGCAGGAACACAACTCGCTCGGAGCGGCGGGCATTGCCAAAGCCAGCTGGACGCCCGAGGATTATCTCCCCCCGGACCTGTACGAGATCATGAGCCGAGACCTAGCCCTCGACGAGATTTTGACAGATGCCGCCCGACGGATCTTTCTTGAAAGGCTCGTCTGCAGCGATGTTCATCGCTTTGATTGAAGAAAACGAATGATAGCGGAAGCGAAACGAGTGGACATGGAACGCAATGCGATGTTTGCATACTACTTATTCCATTTGACTTCCGTAAATATAGTACCCCGGCAAGAACGATAGAAGTTCCTATTGGGCGTAGCGTAGCACTTGCTTTGTAATTTCTTGCTTCTAAAACAAAATTACAATGCTATTCCGTTTTAAACTCCATACTATAAGGTCCAACAGATTGAAATGTGACAGCATGCTTTTCGTGGTTTTTGCCAAAGACTTTTTTGATTCGATGCCTCCCCTTCCAATGGTTTGTGTCGCACGCCTGCGCTACCGAAAACCCCCTTGTTCGACAAACGCCGGAACCTGCTGCGTCTGGCAGTGGATGTTCCCTCCCCCCAGCAGGATTTCGCGGCTCGGCACCCCCACCACGGTCCGGTTCGGGTACAGAAGCCGGAGGGTGTCGAGTGCCCTCTGGTCCGTTTCGCGCAGGGACCGGTCGTGGTCGGTGCTTTCGCCCGGCGCCGCGAACTGCGGCACCAGCACGGCCTGGTTGGCAACGTAGTAGTTGACGTACGAGGCCGCCATGGGTTCGTTCGGGAGCCGGGCCAGGGCCGCGGCATCGCTGTCGCCGGTGGAAGGCTGCCCGATCGTTGCCGCTTCTTCCTCCGTGTACGCGAGGGGCGGATCCGGCAGACACAGCCTGGTGATTTCGATGGTCCGGCCCATGGCGTCGGTGTGGGATTCCAGGTATTTCTGGGCGGCGCGGCAGCGCTCGTAGTTGGTAGCGTCTCCGTCCTCTTCGTCGCCCCCTTCGTCTTCGTTGTCCGTCCACGCCAGCACCACGTGCCCGGGGCGGACAAAGGCACAGAAGTTGTCCACGTGGCCGTTCGTGTCGTGGTCGTTCCGCAGGCCATAGGGGAGCCAGAGCACCACGGAGACGCCCAGCGCCCGCTTCAGGACGGCCTCGATGTCTTCCCTGGACAAGTGGGGGTTGCGGTTGGGGTTGAGGAGGCACTCGGCCGTGGTCAGCAGGGTTCCCTCCCCGTCCGTGTGAAAGGAACCCCCCTCGAGGACGAGGGGGACCGAGAGCGAACCGGAAATGGACAGAGACCCCGCCAGGCTGCCGCTGCCGAGCCCCCCGTGAGCCCCCCGGAGGGCCGGATCTACGGCCACGGTCGTCTCGGAGCAAATGGCGCGGGCGATCCGCTGGTCCCTTTTGCACGGCCAGTACGCACCCTCTTCCGGCCCGCCATAGGCATTGAAGGTCCAGTCCATTCCGATCAGGCGATTGCGTTGATCGTTCCGGCCGCGGCAAAACACAAAGGTCGGGGCGGTGTCCCGTGCCCAGGTGTCGTCGCTGGGACAGACGCCTACGCCGATCGGTGCGCAGGAACCCTTTGGCAAAAACCCGCGCAGCCGATCGGAAACCCCTTCGGCATGGCTTGCATCCTTGCAGAGGAGGCAGACGGCCTCCCCCCCGTGGGTGGCAATCGCCAGGGCGAGGGCGAGGATTTCTTCCGAGGCCCTGTCCACGCGGAATGTGTTGGGGTTGTGGGGAAAGAGAATCAGGCACGCGGAGTGTGGCTCCCACTCGGCGGGCATGCGGTAGATTGGTTGGTCGCCCCCGCCGCCGCTTGTTTGTTTACCGCCTTCTCTCGGCTCCAGGCTTTCCAGAATCGTGGACAGATCGGCGGGACCAGCAGAAGCATCGATGGAAGATACAAGAGGCAGTTCTGCAGCCTCTTGCTGTGCGCACTTCGGTTCGTGTGCCTCCATGCTTATAGCCACGGTTGTGGTTTGCGCTGCAGAAATCGATGGATAGGAAGACGAGTGCCACTCCGGCCGTTCGTGCAAATGCGAGTGAAAATCGAAAAGTTTCCGCGATCGGCACCCGTTCTCTCGTCCTCTTTGTGGAACTAGACCGACTTCAGAACGTAATCCGAGACAACAGGGGTGCTTGTTGGTTGTGCAGTGCAAATGGTTGACGACTTCTGTTCTCCAAACTGCTGGTATCAACATTCCGGTACCTCGTTTCCAAAAATTACACTGCAATGCCGTGTGATGGATGAACGAAACAGGAATCTCGATCAAAAACTAGAGTGCCTTTTAGATATGGTCGAAGGAGTCGATCAGAGAGGACCAACAGACCAAGAACTTTTGAGAAGCCCGCAACCAAAAGCCACAAGCAAACATTCATGGCCAGGCAATATGGTCTGGGGACGAGAAATTGTCCCGAAATGGGAACTCGAGCCCGTCGCATTCGCATCTCGCGCGATTTCCGCGCGACCTAGACCACGAGCAGGTTCGATTCGATACGGTTTGCACCGTACGTACCACATATTTTTGAAGTCGGACGATGACATCATCCTCTGAAATCAGAGTATTTCGTGAAGTGTACGGCACTTCGATGGATGTTGAGTACGAAAATCCATCGGGTGTCACGTCAAAAGTGAAAATGATCAAGAACAGAAGGCATAAAGTGATGGTTTGAGATACGGTACTAAGGGAGTCCTCGTACCGCACGGTATGATACGGCGTTTCGAAAAAAAAAAAAACACAAACCTTCGGGCCCCACCGGCACACATGACCGACTTGCCAAAGACATCACCACATCGGCAGATGCGTTAGCAAAATTCGGAAAACGAGGAAACAAGCCGGAGCAAGCATCGAATACAGGTCTCGTTCCACTTTGTTCATCCCAAGGTCGCACCGCACCGCACCGCATCCATCTACCGTACGTCTTCGAGTTTTACACAACACACACTCACTCCACAATGAACCAAAAGTCATCGGAATCGTCACCGGCACCCCCTGCCTCTGCTTCTTGGCTGCAGCGGGCACTGCGCCCGGCGGTCTGCCTTTTCCTGCTGTCGCTCCAGCCGGGACCCTGGTGGCCTCGAGGATCGGGCCTCGCCTCCGGCTACGTGGCGCCGCCGATGCATGCGTCGAGGCCGCTCTCCGCGTCGGTTCCCTTGCGCGGGAGCCCCGGTGCCGGTCCGCTTGGCGGAAGGCACGGGAGGAAGAGCGACGTTTTCCGGAGGTTCGAGTCGGTCTCCCGGCCGAACGGAAGCAACCCCGCCTCGGAAAGGTCCTCCCCCTCGGAGAAACTCCGGCACCGGCTGTCGGTCCTGTGGAGATTCACCCGGCCCCACACCATCATTGGCTCCGCCCTGGCGATCCCGGCCCTGCACCTCCTGGCGGCCCCGACCTACGGAACCGCCCTGACGGCCCGGTCCCTGTCCAGCATGCTGTACGCGATGGTCCCGTCCCTGCTCATGAACCTCTACATCACCGGGCTGAACCAGGTGACGGACGTGGAGATCGATAAGATCAACAAGCCGGACCTGCCCATCGCGTCGGGGGATCTCTCCGTCAAGGACGCGAGGCTCCTGGTGGTCGGCTCCCTGGTCCTCTCCCTGGCCCTGGGGGCTTCCGTTCCGGCGCTCGCCACGGAGGGCCTGGGCGTGGCCCTGGGCGTCTCGGCGGTCCTGGGCACCGTCTATTCCCTCCCGCCCTTCCGGTTCAAGCGGTTCCCCCTGCTGGCGGCCTTTTGCATCGTGGCGGTCCGAGGGGCCGTCATCAACGCCGGATTTTTCGCCCACGCCCACGCGGCGGCCTACGGGGGCTCCGGGCGGGGGAGCGTCCTGGGGTGCCTGGCCGGGGACCTCCGTTGCGGCCTGTCGAGCCTGTACTTTGCCGTCTTTGGCCTCGTCATCGCCCTCATGAAGGACGTCCCGGACGTCGAGGGCGACGCCCTGTCCAATATCCGGACGGCCTCGGTCCGGCTGGGCCCTTCGGCGGTCTACCAGGCGATGCACAGGCTCCTCACGGGGCTCTTCTGGGGCGTGGGCCTGGCCTTTTTCAGGGGTGCCCTGGCGGCACCCGCCAGCGCCGCGGTCCGGTCGGGACGGGCCCTGGTCGGGGCGGCCGCCCTCCTGGCGGGGGCGTCGGTCCGGAGGGAGGCCTCCCCCGTCGACCCCCACAACCCCCGGGAGGTCTACGGGTTCTACATGCACCTGTGGAAGCTCTTCTACCTGAGCTACCTGTTCCTGCCCTTTGCGAGGTGAGGGTGTCCTTCCGAGCCCCCACGACCGCAAGCAGGGGTGCGATGCAACGCACGGCGCGAACGCACACGACCCGCTTGCCAAAACGCAACGCAGGAGCCAGCGCACAGAGACTGCGAGAAAAGCAAAACCCGGCCCATTGTGCGATTTTGTGAAGAAACCATAAGAAATAGAACCACACCGCGGTAAATTTTTAGTTTTAGGCATTCACGGACGCGAAAGACGCGTTCTTCTTCTTCTTGTCGCGTCGAGACTTGTTAGTTGTTGCAAAGTAGGTTGTGGCAACGACACAGCAAGCTAGTATAAGTACTACTGTTATAGTACTATACGAGTACTAGTAGTATGGTTTGCCTTCCTTGTTGTTCCTGCCCAATTTGGTGTAGCACCAAGACGAGCAGATACCATACCTCGTGCCAAACCGAGCCCCTTTTCTTTTCATTCAGTCTTTGCCAGTGGTTTGGTATCCTTCTTTGGATGTTTTCGATTGTTTCTGTCGAGGGAAATGGCAATCAAACTTCGTCCTCGTGGTTCCGATCTGTCGTATCGTACTACGGTAGATTGCAGATTTCTGAGGTTCTATTAGTTGTGGTACGTATGTTCGTACCGTACGTAATAGTTCGAAATCCGCAAGCGACAAAGAAGGCATTTTATTCCGCATCGCATTACGAGTAACAAGTTCGTACGAACACTACGAGTACGCTACCGTACCGTACAGACAGTGGAACAACAACAGAATGGTGAGTCAAAAGTAACGTTTTTTGAAATCATGTTTTGAGAAACAAAATAACAGAAAACACGAAAACACCAAAAACAAGATCCACAGCAACAGCAACAGCAGCGGTGGCGGTGACGACGATTCCAACCGGGCGATTGCGGTGGTTGCAGCAGCAACAGCGCGAGAATCTGACCACCCGACATATATTCCATGGACAAGGCCACTTCCGGTGATGCTCTTCCCTCCGCTCCAACGACAAGAAAAGCGACAACGAAAGGCTCCGTTCCGGCTACTGGTGCCTCCGCCGGCGGCACGGCGGTGATTCGCAATCCGTACGCCCGGTCGCAGAGGGGTTCCCGGGGCGGTAGCGGGACCGCGGGCACTGGTGTGGGCGGGGTTGCGGGTACGCCGACGGACCCCCCGGCCCTTTTCCATCCAAGCGATGCCGGTGCCAGGGCAAACGGCACGAAACACGACGGCGGCGACGGCGGCGGCAACAATGGTGGTTCCCAAACAACAGCGCTTGATTCGAAACCAAGGGAACCGCACGCGCTAGCCACAGCCGGGATCGGTTCTGCGCTTCCGGAACGCGTCGTTCGCGGTGCTGCGTCGTCTGACTCGGAACCCCCACGGCAACGGAAACAACAGCAACACCAAAAGCAACAACGAAAAGAACCATCGCAGGACCTGGCCTTTTGGGAACGCCTTCCCACGCAAACCATTTCCCTGCGACCGGCCGAGGTCTTGACAGTCAACGAATGCCTTCGTTGTGGGAACACCAGCGGTAGAGACAACGATAAAGACATCCTCTGCCGCAACGGGAAACGAAAGCAGCCATGGCACGTCGATCCACGCCAAAACCACCGCGGTGGGCAGAACCAGAGAGACCGGGATTCGTCCCCGCTCCGGCCTCCCCCGTCGTCCTCCCCGGCCCGCTACAACATTGCGAAACTCTATTGCGACCAAGGTCGGCCGGTTCGGGTCACGGGAATCGTGGAGAGCCGTTCCTTTGTCCCTCTCTCGGCGAACGTCGATGCCAGAGGAAACCCTTGCGCCGGTGCAAGCCTCGTCGTCGACGACGAAACCATGCTGGTCGAGCTGAATCTCAGGGACCCCCTTCCCCAGAGGGCTTCCGAGTCGGTCGGCACCACCACGAAGCACGCAACCGCTCCCGCCGGATCCTCGTCGTTGGCGGCGGCGAGGCGCCGGACCAGGCGCCGCCCGTGGTTTACCGGCGGCCAGCGCGACGCCAAACGAGGGACGGTTCCGGTCGGAAGCACCGGGGCCCGAACGCCCACGACCCCCGTGCTGGCGGTGCTGGTGGATCCTTCCGTGGTTCCGCGGCTCGATGCCGCCACCGTCGGGTCCTTTGTCACGGTCATCGGAACCTTTTTTCCCGCGGGACGAGAAGGACAAGGACCACTGCGGGACGGCGTCTACAAGCTCGAGGCCCGGACGGTCCACGTCGTTTCATCGCAAGCGACGACCGACATGGTCCTCTACGAAACGGCGCTCAAGAGGCGGCGTGCCGCCATGTACCGGAGGCACTGCGCCGGTGCCAGGGGCCACCCAAGTTCCTCGGCTGCCGATGCCGATGCCACCGACGCGGCCCGGAACGATCCGCCGGAGCTGCTCCAGGGCTGCGGTCCCCCGCCGTACGATGCCCTTGGCTCCCCCCGGTGACAGCACTGCGAACGAAACGCGCCGAACCAACGAAGCAAGATCCGCTCGGCCATGTGATGCGGCATGGCCCTTGCAGCGGTTCGATTCGATTCGATTCGTGGCATGGCCCTTGCAGCGGTCGGGCATGGCCATCCGAGGAGATTGGAGAGCCCGGGTGGGGTGTCCCCTGCGGTGTCTCCGCGAGCACTTGCTGGCACGGCACCACACCAGAACCTTGGGTGGAACGAGTACCGCAGGCTCGGCGATGCCAAAGCCACGGGAACGACTAGAACCCTGCGAGCTCCCGTGCGCTATGGAATGGACCAGGGAGTACGAGTACCTTCCGGTCCCGAATCGCCTCGCCCCGGCGCGTCGCAAACTAGCGAGAAAGCCAAAACCCCGGCGGGGCAAGGCCGCGAAAAGGGACCGGACGGACGGGTCCTGGCACGTGCCAGCAATCAGGGAAGGACATGGCAAGCAAGCAAGAACGGCGACGACAACAAAAACAAAAACACCACCACCACCACCAGCAGCAGTAGTTGTACTAGCCCTATTAGGGTGAAACGAGAAGTAGCAAGATCTCTTTATCGACACTAGTAGTATTAGCAATCATAATGATAGTTGTAGTGTCGTACTAGTGGATGGAGACGGGATGGTTGGTAGTTACAGGAGACTTTCCTTTCTTGGCGGTACCGTGCAGGGACAACAGCTATCCTGTGATCCTGTCGATCTATGAGTACGAATACCATTGCGAACCGTTGAAGATTTTCAAGTGATCTTCAATTCAATCGACGAAGGACTACGAGTATCCGTAGTTACTAATGTACTGTATGTACTGTAATGCTCTACAGTACTTCTACTATTAAACGGCATTTGTCGTATGGATAGGTATGTATCGTACTGTACGTTTCATACGGTACTATCCCAACGTAATCGTGGAAGGTTGTCCATCCAAAAAATTTAATATGGTTCCGACTATGTCCCCCGCGTCGTTCTTCAACATGTTGTTCCAGTGTTAGTGGGTTACGCGTTGGTTCGCAATATTAGAGTACGTACTGTACTTCGTACTGAAAGGGAAGCAAAGTACCGTACTATTACGAGTACAAGGCTGTTTAAGGAATGAAGTCACCCAAGAACCAAATTCTCTGGGCAATATTGTGAATATCGAAATTCGTACGTTAGGACAGAAAAGGAATGCAGTTCATGGATCTTTTAATCCTACTCAGTCCGTTTGACCGCTTTCACACTCCGCTGATACAACTTGCACGAACGTACGGTATGTCAACTCTTTTCTCACAACATAAAACAAAGCATACGTAAAAAAAATTACACCACCAAAGAAAACCATCACGCAATTTCACCGAAATCCTCAGCACGACAAACCATACGAAACAATGGAGTGGCCTTCCCTAGAGTTCCAATCGGATCTCCTCAACTGCATCGAGAACGACGAAATCCTCTCGCACTCGTCGCAAGTGTTGTCCGATCGATTCCTTTCCGATCTGGCGTCGTCCATCGTCACCAAGGAGATCTACGCCCGGGCTGCAAGCGCTGCCCTGGCATCGGACACCAGCAGAATTGTGGCCCGCAAGAGCAACACCGGGGAAAACGAACTCTCCGAGAAAATGGTCGTAGCTTTTCTGGACAAACTCCGCACATCCGCTTCCGACAGCGACGAGTGGCATGCATACCAGTACCGCGAGACCGCCCGCGACGTTACGGAGCTCATGGCATCCCTCGATCCACTGGCCACGCTGAAATTCTGCAAAGGTGGACTGGACGCCGTCCACGATTTGTTAAAGTACCGGTTGCCAAGCAGCAGCAGCAGCGATTCCCCCACTGACGGATCAGCGGCACTCTTGAATGCGAAAGACGCTTACGTATTGTCTCAGTCGTTCCCGAAGCTCGATGCCGATAGCGTGACCGGCACACGGGCCCCCGATCTCGAGTTTCGGTTTGGACTTTTGCACAATAACAGCAAGGTCAATAGCAACAGCAACGTCGACTGCGATGTCAACTCCCTTTACGGCATGGAGGCCTGCGATATCGTCAACGCGCTTCACCAAGACGGAACAATGGAGACCTCGGCGGCATCACTAGCCAAGAACACGCTCGCAAATCCCAATCTGGTAGCACAATTATCCGCATCGAAAACGACGAACTCTACAGGCGAAAACCAAACCGAAACGATCTTTGTCGTTTTGGGGTGCGACCATCCAATGAGCCCGGCGAAGCCGCTTTTGCGGATTCCCGGTGTGAAAGTTCTAGGAATCCCCTCTTCTGAAGAGGGTTTGGAAGATATCCTAGATTACGTTCGATACAACAGTCCCGACGATACCACATTCGTCCATCCGATTTGGAACCAAAAGGACAAGAAAGGAAACTACCACAGAAAAAGAAACCGGACCGGCAACAACTTGATTCTTTCTAGGGGTCCACAAGTAGCCCAGTGGCTTATAGACCACGCAATACTCGCAAAGAAGGACGGGGATGAAATCACGACTGATAGTAAAGCAAGTGCCAATTGCAGAAAAAAACTTAAACTCGTTTTGGTTCCCATGGCCATGCCATCACTGCCCCCGGCAACCACTTCCCGCAACAGTGATTCGCCCTTTGCTTTCGTCCCTGAAGCCAGCGTCCGGTGGGCTGCGTCTTCCGACTTAATCGTTCAGCGGGTTGTGATGGCGGCCGAAGCCGCAAGCACCACGTCTAGGCAAATACAGTGCTCGCTGTGGTCCTACCAGAGCTCAAGCACCTGCATGGTCGTCCCTCCGACGTCTACCACACTGAGCACCGAGTTGTTGCACAAGCGCCCATCTCACGAACAATGGCTCCACACACTAAGCATGGGCACTGTTTTGACTCCGACAATAGAAGAGGACAATAACCGCAACAAGCTTCACAAGCATCACACCGAACAGCAAGATGACCATTCGAGATCGACTGCGGTTCCTTCCGGAAGCTCCGAAAGTGATATCGAAGCCAACACMGTGAGGAATCGCTTCGTGGGTGCTGTTAGCAATACAAACCACAACTACTCGATCGTCAACGGAATCGTGACCTCGGAAGGTCCTCACCATATGCTGTCGGAGCACATTAGATTGTGGAGGGCCATGATAACACACTACAGCGCCGATTTAGAAAATAATTCCTCCCAAAATTATATTGGAGATTATGACTCCGACTCTGACGACGATGATGATGGTATACAGCGGAAGAACAGTGTCCACGTCTTTGCCCCTCACGTTCCAATTGTTTCTCGTGGCTTATTGACGGAAGCTATCGAAAAAGCATCACCATCGACACCAAAAATATCGGCAGCGAGGCCGAACAAGATCACCGCACCTCTGCAGATTCTAAACTCGGGGACAATGGCCTCTCTGATGGCAGCCATCGCGCTAGCGGGCTTTACAGATCCCTTGATCAATCAACCGATGCCAATGGGTCTAATCGACGAGAAAGATGCAAATACTGCCGAAGCAACAATAATTACTACCCCCTTTTGCCTTTTTTGGAACGGTAGCGTTCATTCAGGCGTTTGGAACTGCCCTTACACACTCGACAGCATCTTTGGAACGGTGGGGTATTTCCTCGAAAAAGTGTACGGGTATTGCGACTCGGCCCTGGCAGCTGCCTCTAGCGCGATAGCTATTGCTAATGCGAATGCCGCGGTGTCGGGTCTCTGGAATAAAAACAGCAACGATACCCAAAACATTGAACAAAGAATCACGACGAATACTAAATCAACAGAAGCAGCAAAGAGTGGTCGAGACAACAAATTCAACTATGCAAACAACGACGACCACTGTAACACATCGATCGTGGACATGGTTCCATCTATCATGAGAGACGAAGAACGACAAGATCAACAATTGATGCCAAATCTGGTAAAGGATCGATTGGAAATTCTAGCATAACACAGTAGAAGTACTAACGAACTGTGTTGGATAGCATAAGTTTCTATAACACTAAATGAATCTTTTGTTCGTGCAAGCGGAAGCGATAGTCGATATGACTGTTTCAATTGGATTCCAATAGAAAGGAAAAGGAAGGAATGCATGATGCGTGTCACGCTGTTCCATTTAGGGTTTGTACGCTTTCAGAAATCAATTCAAATAAGAAAACGAGCATATAGAAACCAAGTAGTAGTGCTGGCATACATTTTCTTGCCTTCCAACATTTTGAAAAGCGCTATTTCTACTTCAAATTCTTGGTTGACGGATGGAGTACCTAGGCGATAAAACAAGACTGAAGTTCGATGTCAACATAAGTTCTATTACTACAAGTTGGTTCCCAATACAACGGTGGAAAAGACGAAATCAGTGTTGTTTCTGTCCCCATTAAATTTTCGATACAGAGGGAAGAAAAGAGAAACCGGAGTTCACGAAGTTCCGGTTGATCAATTCGTGTGCTTGAGGTAGAGAGCCACGAAATGATTTCATTGCAGACCTTTTCGCAACAAAATGTCATACATTCATGCTTGGCTGTCGAAGGATCATGCATCCATGGTAGTCGTAAATTAATTTATCCTAAAATACCACCACCACGTTTCTCTTGCCCGGTTTCACTTCCGTAGGACTATTTTTATCGATAGATTTCTTTTTCTTTTTAAAAACATTTCCAAGCGATGGAAGAGAAGTAATTTTTTTGGTCCACGTTGGTGTTCTTGATTTGAGGGGCTGCTGGGATTTACTCGCCTTGCCCTTTTTGTTCTTTTTCGTCTTCTTTGTTTCATTTAAGTCGTCGTGGGCAACGATAGCGTGGGGTAGACGGGGATGCAGGTACTCTTCTCGCTCCCTCTGTTTCTTTTTCAGCGCTCCGATTCCTTCCTCTACCAATAAGTCTGCGTAGTTGGAGGGCTTGTGGTTGCGTTTCGATTTTTTGTGAAAAGCAGGAAGGTCGTTGCCTAAAGGACAATGATCACCTTTGTTCGGAGCCATTTCCTTTTCGATGTTGTCTTCGTCCTCTTTGCTGAGGACCAAATCCATCAAGGAAGCATCGGTCAAAACAGAAACATCCGTAAGGAGGGATATCTCATTGTCGTGTTGCTGAAATGATTGTGGATGGGTTGGAAGGTATCCGAACTTTTCTTTTTCGAAGCTATCCATCGACTGGGTAGCGGGAGTGCTGTGACTCGCATTCTCCGAAAAGTTCTTTCCACAGCAAATATCCACACCAATAGCTGCTGAAATCCATTCCAGCATTGAGGACCCAACACGACAGGCCTCTGTGAAACGATCAGTGATAGATTCGTGTTCTGCATCTCTGTTTTTTGCGGAAGACGTTCTTCTGTAGCCGCCACATCGATCATTTGCATTTCTTCTGATTCCCTTCGATCTCTTTGAATCTGTTGAAACCCAACCAGATGAGGCCCTTTGGTTTCGGTAGTTGTTGACAAGAATGACACCGTATTCGGCTGATTCTTCGAGTTCCCAATCAAGACCACCACCAACATCCGATGCGAGTCCGTCGTCGGGCATCGGAAAGGAAGACGGGAGTTCTCCATTTCGACATTCCTTGGTCGTGGTCATCGTTGGGCGGATTATCGCACTCTATTGCTGTCTCGGTGCGACGAGATGATCGTATGATGAGGAAGGAAAGAGTGGTATACAAGTAGTAGCTGACACCAAAGATTAAAAAAAGTGATGCCCACTCATCGTAGTAAAATACCTCAACAGGAGGAAATCCGGAAGAAACGAAATTTCGCTTAATCAATCGCGAAAATTGTTATCGTAGTTACATGTTGTTTCAAAAATAATTACATGGGCAGTCATATTTTCGGATGCCGTTCAAAAGTTTGAAGTGGTCGCGATTGTTAATTAAAATTGCCATTCGACGCAGAAGCATTCCGTTCAGAACCACGTGCTTGAATATGCGTGCTCGTTCTTCAAGATTTTAAATCGGAGCCAAGAAGAATCAATCTATGATTCGTCTTCGATGGATTTGTCATCAGCGCAAGCACAAGCACTAGGAGACAATTCAAACCAATGCGAATTCTTAATTTACTACGGATTCTGAGGGTGCTGGGACATTAGAGGTACCGCATTGAAAATTTTTCCATGCAGGGCATGCTACCAGGCAATAGTATGCGAATGCTAGGAATGATGGCTTGCGTTGCTGACGCCCCCCAGGAGGGGGCGGGGCTAAGAGAAATCTGAATTGAAGAAACATTTCTATGGTCGGAAAGATAGTATGCTAGTAGTATTAGTACTAGTACGTCCTGTACTATGCAATACTGCTACTTTCTTCACATAAAATTAGAATAAAGACCCGAAACATGTGTGTTGCTCGTTGACCGACTCAAAACAGCCACTAGCAAGAATGAAAATCGAAAATCTCATACGTATTGGTGCTTCTCGCAATATGTGTGAGCTGTGCCCAAGACAGTCGGTGCTCATGCGCGACTAACTAAGTGGGCACTATCACGTACGATTACTTGGAAGTAAAGTACGGGTACCCAGGTACGAATACTCCTAGAGTCAACGAAAAAAAAAAATTGAACAGAGTAAGTATGACCCAATAACACACGTATCTGCCGGTACTAGTACGTATGTTACCCCACCGGGCGGGACTGACTCGACCCCATAGCAGGCGAGAAAATGATAACTCTCGATAAAAAAATTATCATACGACAGGCTTTTCTACCGTCCTCTACGCCTATGGTACGTAAGTCCTCTGCTATTTCTCGTGCCATCAACAGATTGCCAGACCATGGATCGTAGGAACAACAAAGAGCAACAAAGCTTGACCGAAGGAACACGATAGAAAGAATCCACCATAAATCTGGAAAACCGTTCCCCCAAACACCCCGGAGTGCTCTCACGACAAGCTACCCAATGCATCAAAAGCACCAAGCAAGCAACCCAACAACCAACGAAACAACAAGGACCATGAAATCATTGCTCCGTTCGGTGCTCTGGGTCCTCCTCCTCCTCTTGCTGCTGGCTTCCCCCGCCGCCGCCGACGGCAGCCTCCGGGGGGAGCCCGGCGGCGCGCTTGCGCGTGTGCAGCGGGAGCGGCACCGGGAAGGATGGACCGGCCGCCACCTCCACCGGTCCCCGGGCTACACCGAGGCCCGCAACGCAGATCCACGGGCCTCCGCAACGCGCGGCTCAAGGAGCGGGCGGCGCAGCCTCTACCAGGAATGGGCCCGGGACGACAACGGGGACCTCCTGTGGTGGGTGTGGCTGGTCATTGGGCTGGGCATTCTCTTGTGCGTCTGCGTTTGCTGCTGCGGGAGCGTCTGCTGCCTGCGGGACTAAGCAACCAATCAAGGAACTAACTATTTAACTAACCAACCAACCGACCGACCGACCGATCGACCAGGGCACCCGCGGGGGGAGCGAACCGGTTCCAGGTTGTCGAATAGAATCGAATCGAATCGAATCGGCAACCAACGAAACAACCAGCACGCTCGAGGAATCGTGGCAAACTCGGGGCTAGCTACCAACGCATCGAACGAGAGGGGAAGGAGCGGAACGAAACGAAACGCAACGCAACGCAACCGAAGGAGCTATCGAAGGTTTCTCGGTCGAGAAACGATGAAAACAAAAGGTTCCGCGTGTTCCTCGGAGAATGCAAACCAAGACCGCTTCGATCTACAAAATCCATCCGATCGCTCGTGCCGAACGGCACCAAACAGACCAATCGATGCATTCACGAGTGCAATTTCACAGCCTCGCACAACATGGCAACTATCTGCATTCCAGGGCTGGTGTCGCATCCGGATATTACAACCTATCAATAAAATATTTCATTCACGCACTGTTCTTGTAGTGTACTACTCGCAATGTGATAAAAAGGCTTTTTGTAGAAAGTAATAGGATGCGCACTTGCGTTTCTCGTCGTGTTGCGAGATGCGCAACCGATGCCGTTGGGAAAATCTTCCATTGGCCCGCCCGTCCGCTGCTGCCGCTTCCGCCTTCCGTTGCTGGCCGGCCTCGTTCGTTCGTTCGTTTGCTCGTTATTGGCCCTCCCGGAGCGTGTCCACCAGTTCTCCCGACTCGTGCAGCTCCCGGACGATGTCCAGGCCCCCGATCAGGTCCCCGTTCACGTAGAGCTGCGGAAAGGTCGGCCAGTCGCTGAATTCCTTGAGCCCCTGCCGGACGGAATCGTCGCCGAGAATGTCAAAGGAGTCGTACGAGATCCCACCGCCGTCGTCCTGGATCGAGTCCAGGAGCTCCACGATCTGCCGGGAAAAGCCGCACCGGGGGTTCGACGGGAGGCCCTTCATGAAGAGCATCACGGGGTGCCGGCGGACCAGGGCCGCCAGCCGGTCGTTCAGGGACTCGGAAGCGCTTGCGCCGGCCTCGGTTTCCGGGCCGCGGAGGTCCCAGTCGTCCAGGAGGGATCCCTCGGCGGCGGTTTCCTTCATAATGTCGAGGCCCCCCATCAGCTCGCCCCGGACGTACTGTGGGTGCATGCGTGGGTGCGGCACGGAAGAACGAAGGCGAGCGTGTGAGACCGTGTGAGAAGCAAGGGAGAAAACGACAAACAATAGACCGGTACCGAGCAAACGAGCAAGTCCACAAGGGAATCCAAAACACCACCTGGCAGGTCACGGAATCAAGCACAGAACAATGCAAGACGGCCACACCCCCGGTCGAATCGGCTCGAACCAACACAAACACAAACACAAACACGAACACGAAGACTCACGATCTGCGGGTAGGTCGGCCAGTCGGAGTACTTCTTGAGCCCCTGCCGGACGGCCTCGTCGGCCAGGATGTCAAAGCTGGCGTAGGTGGAAATCTTTTGGTCCGCCAGGAGCTCGACGGCCTGCCTCGAAAACCCGCACCGGGGCTTGTCGGGGGTCCCCTTCATGAAGAGGACGACCGTGTCCATCCGGACGAGCTTTTCGAGGCGGGCGTCCAGGTCCTCCCCGGGGCCAAGCGCCGCTCCGCTGCCGGTGGTCTCGGTGAGAGCGGGCGGAGCGCCTCCGCTGCCGGTGCCTCCCCCCGCCGAGGCCGCCTTGGCGAGGCGCTGGACGGCCAGGGTGAGGGCCGAGGGGTTCGCCAGGTCTTCTCCCTCGAGGCGCTCCGAAACCACGCCAAAGGCCCCGCTTCCCGAGGGGAGCAGGAGCAGAACCGTGGGGACCATGGTCACCCCGTACGACTCGGACAGGTCCGCGGCGGCCTCGGCGTCGACCGTTCCAAAGAGCATGCTGGCAGCGCCGCTGCTGCTGCTGCTGCTGTCGGGACGGTAGCTGGGGGCGAGGGCCCCCAGGACCGTCTCGAGCATCGGGCAGGCCTCGTGCCAGTCGGCACCAAAGAGGAGGACGGCGGCGGAGGCGGCCGACCCTGCACACTGCTCTCCGAGATCGGCGGCGGAGCGTACTACCGCCAGCGACGACGGCGGCGACGACATGGATGGCTTTTTTTCGTTGGGCTCTGCGGTTTTTTCCTTGTGCGGCGGCTCGATTCGTATCGAAACGAAACGAAACGAAACGAATGTGGTGGGGGTTGCGAACAACGAAACGGAAGCAGAACGCGTGTCGTTGGTTTTTGTTGGATGGACAGGTGCTTTTCGAAGTGGATGGTATGGGTTTTGGTTTTTCTGATTGCGCTTCGTGGTGCGGTTGTTGTTCTCGGATTCGCGGGTAATCGAGCGCAATCTTTATGGTACTGATTTTCTGTAGGAATCGAGTAGAAACAACTACCGTGCCCTACAGTAAGCCCGGCATAACCAGTACCTTGTAAAATCAGATGATCGGTGTGAGGCCTAAAACACACTAAATCATAAGCAATCACGAATGAAACGGAAATCTGCAGGAGCCAGTCCATTGGGACGCCATCTTGGGCATCATGGGGCACGAGAGAACCAGCAACCAGAACCCAAACTGCCATGGAACACAATATGAAAAAGAAGAGTAAGGAGAAGAAGTACTAACACAAGTTGACGATGATGCATTTCATCCAGCTGGCTTCATTTGGTCTTCGATCTGGATAAAAAATTTTAAAACTACACAGAAAACGGATTTCACTATCTTTCACAATAGCTATGTAAATCAATGTTTTATTTTGGTCTATTGTCGCTAGTTGTTTACAACATTGCAGTAGCTCCATGACTAAAACGTTGGCCATGGCAACCACTTTCCTAGACAATGGAATCGCGGGTCGCCAGAGAATGTCTGTTGACGCGCGGGCTCGACGATTCGAGTCTTTTGGTTGCGACCGACGATGGGTCCGCGTCGGTTTGGCAACCGATTCCTTTCGTGCGAGGTGAGGGGGGGGGGGGGGGGGGGGGGGGGGTTGGACCTCGCACGCCGATTTCCTGCGCCATATCCCGGTCCGTTGCGTGGGTTGGGTTTTTCCGGCGACCCCACCCAATCGTTCCCGCGGCTCCCCGCATGGCATCGCATCGCATGGCATCGCATCGCATGGCATCGCATCGCCCTTGCACCCGGGCCTCCGCTTGTTATCCCTCGCTTCCGGCAATCGTCAGCGTCGTCCCCTTCTGGGAGAGTTTGATCCCCTTGATGGTCGCCTTCAGGACCCTCTTTTGCCCCCGCTGCGGGACCGCCATAGACCGCTGCTTGGGTTTTTCCAGCGGGAAGACCCGAAAGAGGGGCTCCGTCACGTGGACGACGCCGAGCACAAAGCCCAGGGCCGCGGAGGCTCCCAGGGCCAGCGCCCCGGCCGCCAGGGCCAGCAAAAACTCCCGGGAGGCCGGCCTTCGGAACCGGGGGCGGATCGCGGCCCCTGCGGAGGGGTGGGCTTCCGGCCCGCTCGGGGGCCGCGCACCCCCGGAAGGTGCCTTTGCCGGTGTCGTTGTGGCTTGTTCTTGGGGGAGCACCACCACAACGGCGTCTTCGCTGTGGTCGCCGGACACCACCACCGCCGGGAGCGGGTTCTGGCCGTCTCCAGCGGTGGTGGTTGGGCCGGACTGCAATTTCGACTGCGACTGCGATTGCGACTGCGACTGCGACTGCTGCTTTTGCTTTTTCGCCTGCTGCCTCTGTTTTTTTCGGTCGGCAAGGTTCGGGGACTCCCCCCCACCGGTGGCGTCCGCGTCCGCGTCCGCGTCCGCGTCCGCCGCCTTTGTGGCCACCTCGACGACGAAGGAATCGCCCGGAACCAGGCCGGTGGGAATCCTGGCGTTGGCCTCGGTTCCGTCCGCTACGAGCCGGAGGCGCAGCACCTGGCCCGGGAGGCATCCCTCGGGAACGACGACCCTGAACTGCATCGTTCGTTTCGTGAATGCAATGGAATGCAATGCAATGCAATGCGTGCGGGCGGGCCGGGCCGGACACCCTCGGTTTGCCGGCGGTGGTGGGTTGGTGTGCCTCGGCGTTTCGAAACTTCGTTCCCTTCGGGGGTAGTCGCAGCGTGGGTAGGGTAGTATTGGGTTCCCCGGGTTGTTGAACGATGATGAGGATTCATAATCGTAATCGTACCGTACCGTAGTAGGCACTGTTCTAGTTGCAGTTTAGTTCGGGTACGTATTTTTTCTCGTACCGTACGATCTACGAGTACCAGGTACTGTAATCACAAAGGTCTTACCGGGATCATTTTCTGCTTCGTGGTGCACGCACGTGAACCAAAGATTATCCCCCGACACATAGAGCTATTGAAGGCAAGTACGAGTGCGTACCGTAGTTGCAAGTGAAAGGCAATTCCCATAGTTAACAAAAACCACTTAAAAAAGGCATCCAACGGACGGAAATATTTTTTTTCCCATTATTTAATTTCTCGCTGGTCCTAAATTATTTACATTAGTGGTCCTTACTACTGGGGATATGAAATCAGTGCTTACTACCGGAGAATGAATATTAGTGCTTATAACTGGATTACCTCCCATTACTGCTTGCTAGTTGGGATGCCACTGCATAGTAGTGAACGCTGCAAACTGCTGGGTAAGGGGTTCTGTTGGTGCTGAAATACGGCAGTGCTGTATGTAGCTTCCAAGGCGGGCACCGAACGATGGAGTGGAAAGCAGCAGAAAGGAACGAAAAGGAACTACCGCATGGTTTGTTTGCAACGAAAAAGCAAGGAAAGAAGTGCCAAAACGTATTGATGGAGGAACCGAGGGGGTCGCCAGGGATTTGTGCGAGGGTGTCAGGGACCGCTTGCAAAAGCTGGAACGACGTTTTTTTTTGGGTGGTGTACGGAACACTGAAATGGCTCGAACCCTCCGAGGTGGACACATTAGAGTATCTATAGCAAGTGCACGGCGACGGTTGCGTCGGTCGGTCGCACGGGTCGCATCCTTGGCTAGCTGGGAGGCATTGCCTCCGTGGGGTTCCTTTGGGGTTCGTTCCCTCGCTCCCTTCCGCGGTGCTTCCGCAGCTGGGCGGCGGTGGGCGCCACGGATCCCGTCCGGAAGGGCCGAACGCCGACCGAGGCAAACCCGAGCTCGTCCAGGAAATGCCGCCGCCAGGGAGACCCGCACCGGGTGGCGCCGGAAGCCGGCGCCGCCGGGCCGGTGTCGCCGAGGCGGTCCCGGATCTCGTCCAGGATCCCGCGTCCGGATTCGTCTTTGCATTCGTCTCCGTCTCCGCCCCCGCCCCCGTCCGGAGGGGCCACCTGCTCCTCCACCTCGATCATTGCCCGGTTCCCCGCCAGGACCCGGACCCGCAGGCCCCGGCGGTGGTCCCAGGGGTGCAGCTCCCGCTTGACAAAGGCCTCGGCGGCCCCCACCCTCCGGAGGTGCTCCTCCGTGGCAAGGACCCCCACCGCCAGCCGGGACCGGAGGCAGGGGGCCGCCGCCCGGTCCCAGTTGGGCAGGCCGAAGTAGTGCCTGGCGATCGACCGGATCGACGCCTTGGAGAGGTGGGAGAGCGGGGACCGGACCCCAAAGTCCGAGGCGGCGACCAGGCCCAGGCGGGTCGGGTCGTCGAGGTCCTCGGCGTTGGTCCCGTTGTACAAGAGGACGTCGGTAAGGGCATTGCCATGGGCATTGCCGTGGGCATTGCCGCTCCCGCCGCCCGAAGCACCGGAGGGCAGGTACCGATCGGCGATGCTCCGGAGGTTGTCGTACAGGTGCGTCTTGCAGGCCAGGCAGGCCCTCCCGTCGTTGGCCACGTACAGGTCGTCGCTCCCCTCGGTCGTCCGGACCGTCTCCAGGGCGATGCCGATGTGCGCCGCCACCTCCCTTGCCAGCAGCTCCTGCTCAAGGGGGACCGCCGGGGACAGGCCCAGGACCGCGGTGGCCCTCTCGGAGGCGTAGGCCCCCGGGGAGGACGTTCGGAGGGTCTCGTGCACGAGGGCCGCGGCCAGGGACGAGTCGATCCCGCCCGAGAAGGCCACCACGTGGTGGGCCGAGGGGGCCCGCGGGCCAAGGGCGTCCCCTCGATCGTCCGTTCCGTCCATGAGGGCCCGGGTCCTCAACAGCAGCTCGTCGACCGAGGAAGCCAGGTCCTCCGCCCGGGGATCGTAGGGCCGCCGGGCGGCAGAGGAAGGAGCCGCAGCAAAAGCACGAGAAGCATCCGCGGCAGAAGCATCGGAAGCAGAGGCCAACGCCGCGGAAGGATCCCCCCGAACCGCACTCCGGGTCCTCGTGACACGAACGGCGGGAGGCTCTTCGCTTTCCCCGGGAGCACCTGCGGAAGGCCGGTGGCGGTGGGTCGACCGCCACCGCTGCCCCCTTCCCCGAAGGCCGGAGGGAAACGACAAAGCGTCCCCGCTTTGCTTGCAGCGACCGCCAGAAGCAGCGATAGCGGCTGCGGCTGCGGTGCCACCTTCCTCCATCGACCGCGGGCGGCGGTGGCCCCGGAACCCACCGCCGCCGCCTTGCCCGCAAAGAGAACGACCGCCGAAGCCCCCCGGTGCTGCTGCCCCGCTCGTTTGGTGTGCCGTTCCCGGCCCGCGGAAACAGCGGGTGCCCGCCGGGCGAAGCGCCCGGTGACCGCGGTGGTGCATCGTGCTGCTGTGGTTGGTGCCTTTCCGCTTTTGGTGGTGTCGGTGGGGTGGCGTGTGGATTGTGGGTTGTGCCGAAGGGGGGGGGGGTTGTGGTGTGGTGTGGCCCGGTTCGATGGCGTTGCAGCACTTCGTGCAACAACAAACGCTGTTTGCTCGGAGATGGCAGGTTTTTTTTTCACGAGGTTTTGTTCGGATTCTTCCTCCGTCTGTCCGTATGTTCCACCCGGTGACGGCGGGGCGAGTTTTTGGGTTTTAGGATGGGACGACGGGACCGGAGCTCGTTGTGAGGCTGAATCACGCTCGCGGTGGGTGGGAACGAACCCGACAGTTCCTCGTCCCATCAATTTTGTGACACACCAAATACTGCTGTACATCCGAAGGCAAGGAGAAGAGAAACCAAGCCATGGGAGATAAACTCAACACAACCACAAAAATGAAACCACAAGGCAACCACTTCTAGTAGCGCTTTAATTGACACAGTCATCATCATCGATCAATCTAATAGTAGTATACAAGTATTATCATGGTGAGGAGTGTCACCAAATGTCATAGTACTTGTACTAGTAGTACATTCCAAAAAGAAGCATTCAAATCGACCACCATGTACTATTGTTGAGCATGTATTGAGAAGTTTATTGTACTGTTACAGTGCCGGCGGTTGGACCGTGAAGTAAGATCTATACCTGATTCGAGAAGGATTGTTCCGAGAGAAAACAGCACAGAAATTGGAGACAGGATGCCTGCTGCCAGATGGTCGAGAATCGTGAATGGAGCGTACAGCACAGCACAGAACAATAGTACAGCACTACCGCATTCGTTTCGCTGTGCGGGCTGCCGCAGCCCCCCGGTGGTCGGCAGCCCCGTTTCGTTCGCTGCGGAGCACGGTGGTCCCAGAGGCACACGGGAGCGCCCAGAGGCCGCTGCTGCTGCTGCCGCCGCCGCCGCTGCCTCCCGCGAGAAAGGCCCGCTCCATCACCAGGCACGCCAGCGCGAGCTCTCGCTCCGACGGTTCCGTCCACGAAAGGGCCGGCGCATCGCCATCGCCATCGCCATCGCCATCGCCGGCGTGCCCCGAGCACGAAAAAGAGCAAGAGCGCTTCCGCCAGAGGGGAGACCCGTCCCCTTCCGGCGCCGGCTTGGGGGGTGCCCGCAGCCTCGGCCAGGGCCGGGCCTTGGGTGGGAGCAAGTAGACCCGTTCGGTGCCCTTCGGTGCCGGTGCTGCTGCCGGGACGCGCAGGCCCCCGCTGCCCGTGCCCGGAGACGGTTCGCGGCGGTGGCTCTTTGGGGGTGGCTGCCCCCGTGGCACTTTCCGTTTTCGGTGTTCGCCCCTGAACCTTCCGCGGGCGAGCCTCCGGACCCAGTCGCCGAGGGACCGGCCACGGCCGCGGGCCCTCTGTCGGAGGGTCGCTCTTGCGACCTCTTGCTCGCCGGTTCGCCCCTTGCGCCCGCTGCCCCGGGCTGTGTTGCCGCTGCCGCCGTGCCCGTGGCTCGGTGGTGTGTTCCAGATCGATGGGATGGCTGTTTCGTCCATGATTTCGATTCGTTGTAGTTTGTGTGTTTGTCGTTGCGACGGCCGCAGCTTGGTGCGGTGTTCCTTCATGATTGTTGTTTTATCTCGCTGCGTACTCGTACGGTGCTGTGTTGCCCGGGCCGAGCCTCGGGGTTGCTTGGTGCTCGATTCGAACGCTGTTGCTCGTTGTGGCAAGAGAAAAGAATGCACCGTGCAAGATACCAGGGGTCACCCCCGCGAGACAGACTCGTTTCATGGCTGGTGGAAGATGGTAGGGTAGGGTACTAGGCGCTCGACACGATGAGTGACTTGAAGCAGAATTTTTTCGATGCACGAATCAGTAGGAGTACGAGTACGGTTGCTAGTCGTACCATTACGTAAGCAGTTTTGATACTACCGTACGAGTACTCCGGAACTGAATTTGAAAAACTTCTTCGGCGTGTCCCGTTTTAGAATTGCAATAACAGTACAGTAATGGTAATAGCATATCGTACGTAGTAGTAACCTTCGTCAACGGCGCGAAAAAGGATTTTCCAGTCGTGCTTTCAATATTTTCATTGATGACGTTGGGTAGGTACGTACGAGCACGTACTTCGTGAACCATGAACCACGAGTACGTACTAAGTACGAAGTAACACTGTTACAATGCAGAGGTAGTACTTGTACGTACCACGTAGAATTACGGACCTTCCTTGTACCCTTTCAAAATTCCAATTCGAATCGGTATCGTTACACCTATCCTACTTGTATCGTACCGTACGGTACTCGTAGCCGTGCTTCGTCCAACCTGTGCGGCGGGACATTCTCTTTTTGGGGCGATAGACGGAAGCATCGGATCGCACTCGCACTCGCACTCGCACTCCACTCACTGCATCTTTTCCATCTAGTACCTGCCGCAGAACAAGAAAAACACCACGAACAACAATGGCGTCGACGACAAAGAAAGCCTCCGTGATGCTGGTCGGATGCGGCCAGCCGAAAGGACCCATCAAATCCATGGGGGCCTACCACGCGATCCAGATCCTCGACGACCGCGTTCCCGACGCCGAGCTTGCCCTGGTCGTCGAACCCTGGTACATGTCGGAGGTTGCCAGGTCGATGGATCCCAAGCCGGCCGGATTCGATGAGTTCAACGCATGGAAGGAAGAAATGGAGACCGAGAAAGGGATCGCCTTTTATGCCACCGTGTCGGAGGTCCCCCCTCCGGGCGAGGACGAACTCCGGTTGGCGATCATCAGTGCCCGGACCGCCGACAATCCGGCCCTCCTGGAAGCCTGCGTAAAGTCCGGATGCACCGCGATCTTTTTGGAAAAACCAGGGGCTACCACCGTCGGGGAGCTCGAGCGCATGCGAGGCATTGCGGAAGCTGCGAACGTTGGTGTTTTCATGGGATTCAACAAGAACGTTTCGAGCTACCTGACCAAAACGAGGGACTTTGTCGAGAAGTCGTCGAAATGCGATGTCACCTTTCTGCACAACAACAACTACAAGGACACGGAGGAAGAACTCTCCGAGTGCTTCGAGCGGAACTCGGAGGGGATGCTCAAAAACATGGCCATCCACGAGCTTGCCATTTGCGTCACCTATTACGGTGTGACGGTCGACACGATCGCAAAGGTCGAGGCCGACAAGGAATATTCCTGCCTCAAGACGCTCGGCAACTTCACCGATTTTGTCCGGCTCAAATTCAAGCTGGTCACTACCGATGGAGTCGAGATCAGCGTGGCGGCGGACCGGTGCGGTGGAGACGACTCGGTTGGTGCGTACAATGCTGTTTCGACGAATTCGAGGCAATCGATAAGAATAGCGCCCAATCGTTCGTACACGGTCGGATTGACAAATTGATGCTGCAACAAGCATCAGCGGCGAACATTGAAGAATACCAGCGCATGCGAACTAACGAAAACCCGATGACGAATTGTTTCGTTTTTCTTTTTCTTTCCCTCCTTGCAACTGCTACACGTTTGATGTTTTTGCATGACCACATCAAAACACAGGAATCGTTACCGATGCCGAAACAGGAAAGGAAATGGCGCGCTTTGCAATGCCGGATGAGGATACAATCGCCAACATTCCTTCTCTGCAAGAAAAATACGGTGATGCCATGCCCTATTTCTTCACGCAGGATCCCGACTACCTGAAACTCAAAGAACTTGTTGTGGACGCGGTGGTCCACGGGCGTCCGGCTACCGGTGTTGCCGACATTGGTGTTGCCATTGAGACCCTCAAGGTCGCCGAGCACCTGACGCCGATTCTACAGGAGCAACTCAAATAAAAGTGACCCACAACACTACATTCGAGACAAAGAACAGAAGACGTGATGACTAAATAATTTGGTAACTACTTCAAAAATCAAAACCGTCAAAGTTAGAAGTACCTAGTTTGATTTTGGACATTCTCCAATCAATCAATATTTGAGACACAATTGGTTTGTTTGTTGATAAGCGTTCTTCGTCCAATTAGCTTGCGCTGACTACCATACATTGGCGTAGCAATTCGATGCGATGCGATGCAATTCGGTTGTAGTCATCAAATCAATTCGAAGTGCATTACGAACTAGAAAGATGATGCATTGGATCCAAATGCACTTTTTCCATCGATTCGTCATCGGTTCGGTTTATGTGTTCGTTCTTTTATTCGGAGGATGATTCATTGGTATCTATGAGGTTAAATTCTCGGCAAAGGAGAAGCATAACCAAATTGTCTTTGGCAACGTCACGGATCGAGAAACTATCTTCGAGGTCGCTTTCATCGTTTCGGTACTTGACGTCGTTTGAATTATGGGCGATGTTGGCTTTGCCATGGCTATCTCCCACTGCCAATGATAGAGTATCCTGTTCTAGTTCGTTCGTTTTGTTTTGCTGAATTCCATTGCCGCTACCATCCGTGTTCCTGGTTCGGTGACCAAAAAGATTCTTTGACGACGACGACGACGACCCGAACAGTGTTTGTTTGAGCTTCGACAGCCTCCTTCTTGAATTGCTCCGGATCGGTGTTTCTCTTTGCAGTGACGGTGTCGTTGTAGAGGACGAAGTTGCATCAGCTCCTTCGTTATCTCTTGCAACGTTGGTTTCCGTCTCATTTCTTTTGTCGTCATTTATTTTAATGACGGGGCGGCGACGGATCAACATTCTTGGGGGACTAAAATATTCGTTGCTTGTACCATCGAAGGCTTTGTGGTGCTTCTTGCCAACACTGTTCGTGCAGACTTGGTATTCAACACTCTCACTTCTACTCTTGTTATTATTGTCAATACCATCATTCAAATTGTCAAAGCGTCTGATTCGAAAAGAATCGGTCAATGATTTTATTCTACGAGGTCCTAACGGTTTCTTTCTCTCTCCTTCCATCTCGTTGTCTTTGTTTGTTCCATGCAGTCGCAGCGACGACAATCTCTGCAATGACCGCCCGGGCATTCTGGCCCGACTGATCGAGCCGTTTGTCGACGACCTGCTGATCCGGCCCGGGAATTTAAAAGACGGCAATCTAGTCAGTGGCGGAGGCGGTGACGACAATTCCGGTTGCGATGGTAACGAGTGCGATTTCGTTGGTGAGGGGATTCGGTTCTTCGACGACCTCTTGTTCCATGATCTTTCGGACGCCATTCGAAAAGTTTGGAATCGTGTCAGGGGCGTTGACCGATTGTTCGTGTCTCGGCGATCCATTGTGCCGAGTATGAAAAGTTTCTGTGTATGTTTCGTTCAATCAGAATCGAACAAATATCGACTTTTCTATCAGACTCAACACTACAACCGATATCCCTTACGTTGTTAATGCTATATTGAAGCACGGCTTCCTTTTCTTTACTTTCTTTTTTGTTATGTTTTGTGTAGATTATTTTAATGTCAAAAAAAAGAATTGGTACATAATGTACTCGTACGTAATGTTTGATTCATATCATTCGAAGTTTCATTATCATCTTTGCGTCTGAGCTCGAGCTCGACATTGACATTGACATTGACATTGACATTGCAATCGACATTGCAATCGAGATGGCACGGCGAGAAAAGGCGGTAAAAAACGTAGCTCGTCGCGTCCCATCGATTGTTCGGGTCAACATCGTTGAAGCCAATAGGTCCTGTGAAGGAATCATATGATTTTGTTCTGATCTTGATTTCACATAATGTTGAAGCAGTAACTCATGCCTGCTCGGTCATAATAATAGAAATATCCAGAAGAAAAATAAGATTACTTGAAAATCAAGCTGTCTAAACTATGACTATTAAGAAAAATCTGTTATTGGCTGATAAATAATGATATTGCCCAGAATTTTAAGGTCATTCATAATGATTTTTCAAAGATACAATACGTACGTACGAGTACGTACTTTTACTGTACAAATTTATAACGGTACGGTACGGTTTGTCTTGGTACAGGTACGTAAGTAGGAAGAATTTGTACTTAGTACTCGTAGCTATGAAGAGTAATGAATAATACTACCGGTAGTCGCTTTAAATTTTCTTTCAATTTTAGTCGAATGATTCGATTAAAATTGACTCGGTCCGTATTTTTGAATCATGAAGGTCAATTCCCCTCCCCTAAAACTTGATTGTTTTTCGACCAATTAAAAAGCACACGTCACATACCGACGTAAATGTTAGACGCAACTACCGCGCGATGTCCGTGAATTTTTGAAAGTTGAACAAGGAAGATCGGGCAACCAATCTGCAACTTCTTTGATTGGACAGAACGGGGTTTTTCTCTTTGTTCCCCTTGAATCGCTTTGTTCGATTTTCTCTTCTAGGTTCTTATCTTTACGACTTCAATAAAAGCTACGAGCCCTCGTCCATCGTTCACGCCATCGAATCAACAACTTTTGCATCCATAAATTTCCAACAATATACCGAATAAACCCAAAATAGTAACCATGAAGTCTATGATCGCCGCCACCCTTGTCGCATCGGCAGCTGCCTTTGCCCCTGCCCAAACCGGTCGCTCCTCCACTGCCATCGATGCTAAGGCTTTCTCCGATGACATCGGCGCCATGGCTCCTGTAAGTGTCCGACATTAAAACACAGATGCAACTGCCTACGCAGGTACAGCCCCCAATGTTGCTCTGTATGTACGGTGCAATCGTGACTTTTTCTTGTTTCTAATGAGCCATGTCTCTTCTTTTCGTTCTACAAACTACAGCTCGGTATGTTCGATCCTCTTGGATTGATCGAGGATGGAAACCAAGAGAAGTTCGACCTTTTGCGAGAATACGAACTCACCCACGGACGTGTTTCCATGCTTGCCGTTGTCGGATACTTGGTCACCGCCGCCGGAATCCGATTCCCTGGTGCCCAGGATGTCCCTGCCGGACTTAAGGCCTTCGACTACTTGTTGGCCAGCAAGGATGGACAGAACATCCTCCTCCAAATGCTTGCCTTCTTCGCCGTTGCCACCATTGTCAACCGTGACGCCGAGTGGTTKGATGTTGAAGCCGAACACGTTGGTGACTACCGTAACGGTGTCCTCGACTTCGGATGGGACAAGTTCGACGATGCMACCAAGCTCAAGAAGCGAACGATCGAGCTCAACAACGGACGTGCCGCCATGATGGGAATCTGGGGACTTGTTGTCCACGAAATGATGGGAGTTTCCATCCTCCCTGGAAACTACTTGCCTTAAACAGCCAGTACTATTGACACTCTCTTGTGTGGGATAGAAAATAGGCAAGGAAGCGAAGACCATGCTTTGCTTTTTACATGGCTTTGCTGCCGATACCCTGTTGTTTGATTTGAGATGAGGTCAGTGCGAACTTTGTCTCCAAGCAACAAACTATACGCAGTCCCAACCGATTGGGGTTGCGGTTCCTTTCATCACTGTTGTAGCATGACACTTAAATAATACATAGAAAGAGTACTTGTTCCGGTGTGAAACCAATCGTTATCGAAACTGAAAGGTAGTTAGTTTTGTGGCCACTAGCTTTTCATGAAGATCGCCTTTTGTTCCGTTTGCTACCACGATCGAGGGGATGCCAGTTATGGTTACATCATTGATAGTAAATAAGGTGTGTGGGTAGCTCGTCTCCCCAATAAAGTAGTACTATGATGTTCCCCTTCTAACTGATACAGTAAATCACATCCTCAACCGCACGATATTAGCGAAGCTCGATTGGTGTGCTGCCATCCTTTTACTACTCGTACCCTATCAACTACTATGAGGAAGAAGTTGATCAAAATGTATCCTCAAGATTTACGGTACGTACTCGTACTTAACGATAATACAGAACATACGTCCTCGTGCTGTGCAATGTCATACGACGTATTATTACGAATACTACTATGATATCGTAATGATAACCGCCGCAGTCCATTCGCATTCTTTCTTTTCCACAGAAACAAACGATAACACATGGTGTGATCCTAGGCAGAACATTCCTTCCAGTCGTGGCAGCCCCGCCTTATTCCAATGACTGCGCTGCGGCAGAGACAGATTCGTTCTTTCACGATAGTTTAAAAAACCTATGAGTATGACTACGTACTGAAATTACTACAGTAATACTGTACCACGCTTTCGTAATTCGGATGCAATGCCGGTTAACGCGTGGTTAAGTACCGGTTATGGACGCAGCGAAAACAATCGATCGAACCGATGCGCACTGCGCGACGGCCAGTCATAGAACCGTCGTTCAAAGCCGAGGCGGGGAGTAACAACAGACCCCAACGACCGTGCTAGAACTGCTGTACGGGAATCAAGACAATTTTTTCACGTATGGACCGACCGTACGGTGCAAGCCTGTGTTTATCGTTCCAGTGAGGGGTGTGTACGAAAATGACAACAAAATGAGCTTCAAGGCATGTGTCTTTTCTTGTGCGAACAACAACAATTATTGTTTGTTGTGTTTTTTTATTCCTTCCGTTTCCACTCTTCACCCTACAGTCGTCTTTGCAGCACAGACGACACAGTGCACGGTTGCGAATACGAGCAACATTTGCTTCACACGAAAGCAAACAGCGAACACAACAGAATTGTCACCATCAATCGATCAACCAGTAATTTGGAAGTCAAAACGCAATAAATCTCCAACAATACGGCGAACACGAATGGTCGGCTTGCAGTCGTTGTAGAAAAGTCGCTCTATTCATCTTTTGTTCTTTCTTGCCGATCAATCGCATAGCAAAGTCACAGCGTGGTGATAGCTTTGTCACTGACAATACGCCATTCAAGTGTTGAAAATTGTTTAGAAGTGATTTAGAGGTACTCGTTCTTCTTTGCACTTTCCATCGAATGCACCACAGCGAAAACAAAAGCGTTGGATGAACACATAAAAGTCCGCACTGCACGTACAATATTCATACCAATACTACAGCAACTAATATTTCATAACTCGGCTGTTCAGAATGGGAATCTTAAAGAAAATCTTCCGTGGGAACAAAAAGAAAACAAGGGAGTTCCAAGATGGAGGCAGTAGGCCAATCTCAGATCCCTCCTTTCCTTCGCAGACTTCGTATTCGCAAACACAATCACAAGCAACGACCAGGGGTGGAGAATGGAGAGGAACGATGGTTGGGGACAGCACGATCCCAAATGGCATGAAAATCGTTGGTTCCGCATCAACGTCCACCGCGAGTTCGTATCCCAACAACAATCTTATGTTGAACACAAACAACAATAATATCAACAACACTAGCAGTCATCCACAGCAGCAACTGATGGGTGGGTACCGTTCCCCACGGAGCACGGGGCCAGTCGATACGGACGACGAAGGGATTATCGTACCCGAAAACGAGACGGAAGCCTTCTACGATAACGCACGGAATCAAACACAGGAGCAGTTGCGACTGGCTTACGAAATGTCGAAAGCAAACAAATCCAACAACAATAGTGCAAATATATCGAGCGATTCATCGAATTCATCCTTCGCTTTGACATCCAATCAACTCCAACAATGGGATCACCAACAACGGCATTCCAGTACACACCAATTCTCATCCTCTCCAACCACCAACAATAATAACCCAAAACCAGTTTACACCATGAGTTCAGACTTGCCAAGCATGAATCCGCAGCAACCCAGTGGCTTGGACGACACGATGAGATCGGTATCCTCTGCGTCCTCCTTCAATCTATCGACTGATGCCGAGGATTCTGAATACGAAAACCTCAAACGAACCTATTATCCTCCTGGCCAACTCACAAGCAATCTTGGCATCGGGTTGTCGGCCCTTACGGCTTTGGACACTTCTGCTATTGACGCTGCCGGTTCAATAGCTTCATACACCACCGACGAGGACCGCAGCAAGATCTTTCCCAATTTGCCAACGGACGACGATATGACGCTGGGAACAGATGCCTCTTCGAAGCGGAGTGAACCCCCTCCGAGCCTGCTCGACTTTCCGCAAAGTCGCCTCTATGCCTCGACCAATGTTGGCAGTTCGCCTTATGGAGCACAAGTGACGGTTCCGATGCATGCCGCTCTCGCTATAAACACCAATCAACGCAACAGCGAAAACAATACCAACACTAACAGCCGCAACAAACCCKGTGGAACGCCTCGTGACTTTACGAGTCCGAGATCACCGAAAGCTTCCAAATTGGAGCACAAATTGGAGAAGAACCATTCCTCTTCTCCAAAGAAAAACATGAGCAGAAACAGAAACAACGATAGCAGTGGCGACGATGGCTTTGGAAACATCTCAACAAACCGCAGTCACGAAAGCAACGGCAGTGGTAATCATCGACAGAATAAAAGTCCTACGGCTGCTGCCATAAGTCATTCTTCAGTTGAGGATTCCGGCTTTGCAGATTTTGGAAACTTCGCCGACTTCGCCGACTTTCCTCGCGGTGAAGGTGTAGATGACAGCGGCTGGACAACGGTTAAGGAGGAAAAGAAGGATTCTTGGGATGATACTGACGGCTTTCAGAAACAAGCATCCTTCAGTCCTACAAATAGTGAAAAGAACAACCAAAACAAGAATCATACAAGTTTTTCTGGTGACAATGCCTGGAATGTAAGCGTCTCATCTCCAGTGGGGCAATCTCCTTCAAAATTGAACAGCAGCAACGAACAATTTAGCAGGAATCGCGACACTGACCCCTTTCGCAATTCTTCGGCGATTGGAGGTAGCAGCTATGTCTCGGCGGGCTCCTCTTCCACAGGACTTCCTGCAGAAAATAGATCACTCACGGAGCTCTTGGAAGCTGCCAAGAGCAAGCGAAAGGACAGCCGTCGTAGTTATGGAAATAGCGCCACCCGCCTCACACAGCACAATCAATCAACGAGCAGTCGAATGTCGTCTGCCTCAGTGAATTCGGCACCCGCCATTACGGCTTCCTACCTCCGACAGCACCACAACCTAGGCGGAAACAACGTAGCTGGCGACGACCCTTTGTCGCCTCGGGACGGTACCTCAGTTTCGGACATTATTCAGAGCTTGGAAGACACCGATCGAATGAAGCGAGCTGAACAAATAACGTCCTCCCACCGTTCTATGGGAGACGCGGGCGTTGTGGCTACAGCCCGAGCCGCCAAGGAGCGACTTCGGGAACGCCGGCGTCGGGAACGAGAATCAGCCGGCATCTATACAACTGCAGGTCGCTCTGCTAATTCCCTTCGGCACTCATCTTCTCGGGATCATGGTTCCGATTCCGATGAATCGGAGAACGGAAACGAAGCTTCTGAGTCCTGGTTGTTCGATCAGGTTACCGGAGCTATGGGTCCAGTAGGCATTGCAGCCGATCTAGAATCACTAAGCGGTCGATCGAACCGGTCAAAGAACTCCCACGGGGGAAAATCACACAAGTCGTCGGGTACATCGAACCGCCGTCGATCTTCTCGAAAGACAAGCAGCACGCGTCGGCACCGGTCTGATCGAAGTGTCGACAGCCACGGCAGTCGGACCAGTCGGTATTCCCATCGCTCCACGAAGTCCTTTTTGTCGCAAATGTCAGAGCAGAGTCGGAGTGTTGCAAACGATTTGCTCCGTCTAGAGATGCAGTTGGCCATGGTAGGGAACAACAATGTGAACGGCGGTGGAAAAGAGGCAACCATGCGTGAAATCGATAGCTTGCCGGTGGTCCAATCGGCTCGCACTGGAATGTCCAGCAGCGCCAGCTTGGGTGGAACCTCGAGGGCATCGGGTCGTAGCCGAAGATCAGTTACTTCAAGTCACCACAACTCATCGTCTTCCAGTTCAGTCCTTCGCCGGACCAAGACCACAATTGTCGCTCCTCCCGGGAAGCTCGGAATCATTCTGGCAAACAAGGCAGATTCAAAGGGAACAGTTGTTTCGGGCGTGAGAACGTCTTCCGTGCTAGTGCACAAAATTTCTCCTGGGGATCGAATTGTTGCCATCGACGGAGAGGACGTCAGTCGCATGACCGTCAGCGAGATTACCACCATTATGTCCCGAAAGGCCGAATACGAACGAAGGCTTACGGTAATGACCATTCCCCGAATTGGGTCTCCAAGCAATGGGAACACCAACAGTGGCTATGCAGACCAGCAAAAGATGCGATCACCGAATAGGGTTCGATCTTCTCCGAGGGTGGCATCCATCAGTGACAGCAAATTTGATTCCGCCGGCAGTGGAAGCAACTATCACAGTGTGCGATAACTGCAACCGACACGAACGGCTAGAAATGAGTCGGCGAACCTACTGTGTCGCCAGAAACAGCGAGTTCGTAATGGAGACCCTTCACTACGTACCTGACGCGCACGATAGTGTGTTCGGGTACCAAAGCAAACATAACTCATACAAGAAGAAAATATTGGTTTAAAGATACCGTAATAACGAGACGTGTGATACACACAAAGTTTTTCTCTAGTGCGTCCACTATTCGATAAAGCAACAAATCCAGATATTTTGATTTCAACGACGATCTACGTTGCTATTACTATTCCGTATACATAAGTGAAAATGTATGTGGGATCTAGAAACGATTTTTTCAGATATGCGTTTGACTGGGAAGCAGATGCAGAATTTCTCGAACGTGCATTTTGTGCGGCATAATGAATCCAAAAATCTACACCTAATGATATTTACAGGTGTAAATGTAAAAGTTCCGGTACAGGGACTCGAACCCTGGTATCCTGCGTGAGAGGCAAGTATGCTAACCACCTACATCATACCGGAAGGTAAATATAATATGCCTTGACTGTGAATCGAACACAGGACCTTCAGATCTTCAGTCTGACGCTCTCCCAACTGAGCTATCAAGGCCTGTTCTACGTGCCTATGGGGAGAAAATACAACTGTTGTGATTTCTTTTATTCAAAACAGCGCTTAACTTCTACTAGCTTTTTATCTTCCGTCTTGTGAAAGGGACAAAATGCGACGGAGTATGTTACAATAAGTGCCAGTGCCATGGATGTGATTACATGTTAAACCCTGATACAGTACAACTACATATGAAGATGGCAGAGGCGAAAAGGTAGGTACCGGTACGTCATTATCGTACACGGTACCAAATACACGACCCGGGTACGAAAGCAGAGTGTAATGGTTTCAACTACCCTGTAGTACGTACCGTGCCGTTGAGAATCTTTGAAACTCCTCTTTCGATACGCGTAAACAATAAGGCAAGAGGAACTTAGATATTAGTACTTTGCACGCATTACAGTACTACTACTAGGTTAGGGGACTGTCATACCCGGACGGCAAAAAAAGAAACACAGGACGATCATTGCCGGAAGGAGGAAGTATTCTGCAGTAGCAAACCAATTACTATTTCTGTAAGTATCGAATTCGAAGATCTCGCAATCATTTCGAATGTCAACAAGAACGGTACCGTAGGCTTTTTCGGTTGTCCACACAGAAATTCTCTATGCGTGATCTTTCTTCTTGAAAAAGATAAAAAATCAACAATGCAGAACAGTTCTGATAAGAAAAATTTCCGTCACGGGGAATCGAACCCCGGTCTCCCGCGTGACAGGCGGGGATACTAGCCACTATACTATGACGGATGACATCGTGTTACAATGAGCTGGAAATAAATCACTTACAATCTGTTGTAGATTGACAAGATCATTTTTTACGTATTTCGTGGTGCCCTACAGAGTAGCCTGGTTAATTTGCCACAATACCTAGCGGTATCTTCGATACCCGGACGAAATCATTTCGATGCCTAGGACAAACAATTGAGCACGTTGGAAATTCTTGTGAAGTTCGTACCCCCACTACTTCCTATCACCATAGCAAGGCCCATACTCGATCTTTTTGCTCCCGTCAAACTCCTGTGCAACGTGCTATGTCCACATGGGAAATTGAACCAAAAAGTATGCACCAGCCGTGAATCGAACACGGGGCCCAACGATGGCAACGTTGGATTTTACCACTAAACCACTGGTGCTTGCGGTGACGCATGAAATAGTTTGTTAAATAATGTACCTTATGAAGGAAATCAAAGTACTACAATAACTTGGTGAATCAAAATGACACAAAGAAAAATATTAATACTCATGCAAATCAAATTAGTACATTTGTACACCTCACAAATGGAAATTCGCAATAAAGAAAAAAGCAACCGCATTCGACAGACAGATTATTTTTTATCCTTAGCCTACTAGTAGTGCGGTCTTTCAATTACATAAGTGTACTTTACTAGTCTTTTCTTAACAACTGGTACATCCGCGTGAAATGTTGTACAAAATTAATGAGTTCTTATGAATATATCCGAACCTGGCCGAGATTGTTTCCGTTACGGCTGGATAAAGAAGGTGCACCGATTCCTAGTGTACTACCACTTTCATCCATTGCCACTGAAGTTCCGAAGCCACTTGAACCAGAACCCCATAAAGTTGTCGTCCGCAGCCATGTTTCATTGTTGCTGTAGTCGTATATGCGTGCCTCGTCCTTCTGTAGGTTTCCAATCAATATTCTGGAGCCGTTCCGGGCGAGGGAAACAGATGAACCCCCGCTAGGGAGATAACCATGATTCGCATCGCCACTGATCTTTTTCCAATAACCTTCGATCCATCGATAAACTACGGCTTCACCAGGATGAGTGGCTACCACGGCCAAGGTATATCCATCCTCAGAGAGAGCTACAGAAGCTGGACCAAATTGATGCATCAATTGACCTCCCATGGCCTCCCAGCTTCCACTATGATCATCTCTACCACTACTCAGGTCCTTGAACCCGAAAGTCTGAACGACAACCTGTGGATCTGCCACAGCCCATTCTTTTACCGAGAGTACACTCCCATTTCTTGAAAGAGCGAGAGAAATTGAGAGCAGGGTTCTCCGTTGGTTGCCACCTACGTGACGGTTCTGGGCATCGTAAAGAAGCGGATTTCCACCGATGGGAGTCCATTCTTTTGATGATAAATCATATCTGTAGATTTGGACTGACATAATGACGCCATTGTCGTCCACACAGCCCATAGCTAGCGTGGATGCGTCAGAGGAAAGAGTCATTGCAGAGTATGCAACGGTATCAACGTCCCACAAAATCGGCTGCCCGCGATTGACCCAAGACCGACCCACCAGCTGGTAGACTTGTACTTGAGTTTGCGATGAAATGGCTAACACTGGAGTTCCATCTTCTGGTATCGTCGCGGAGGAAATGTCGGAACCAAAAGCTAAAGAAGTATTCGTCGAAATAGTTGCATTATCTACCGGGGTAGCCATGGTGGGAACCCAGTCGCCTGAATTTTCGTCCCTCTGGAAAGTCTGGACTGGGGCATTTGGGGTATTGCTCAACGCTGCTAGGAAGGTTCCATCAGAGCTCATTGAGATTACCGATCCCAATCGATCTCCATCTGCTTGACCAACAATCGTGGCAGTATTTTTAAACTTGTACTTTATTGGTGGCAATCCGATCTCAACAGGTGGTTCTTTTGCCACTGGTATCATGCCAACAGGTGCCAAAGAAGGTTCCTTTGCCACCGGTATAACGCTAACGGGTGGCAAAGAAGGTCCCTCTTCCACTAGTACCATGTCAACGGGTGCTAAAGAAGGTTTCTGTGTTATCGGCGAGCTAGGTGCAGTCATTGGAGCAGTCGTAACCACGGGAGAAGGTAAAATCTCAGGCCTTCTCGAGGCCAAAAGCCCAATGATGACTGAGATCACACCTATCAATAACACACAACACAGCATTATTATCACCTTGTATTTTCTCTCGGTAGAGTTATCTGGTGGATATTCTTTGTAATCAGGTTTAGGGACTGTGTATCGTAGCATCTCAAACTTGGTGTTCAGAATCCCGACGTTGGCCGCAATGCTAATGTCATCGCTGACAACACTCATTCCATCTGCATCCTTTTTCCGTTTGCCATTGGAATACGGGATTGCCATGAATCCGGCAGCGGGCATATATCTAGCTAGTCCTTGACCGCTCTCGACGTCCATCTCATCATCATCGCTGTCATATAAGACTGTCCGAACAGCTGTAGGTTCAGCAATAGGTGATTCTTTGTTTTCGTCTTGCTTTTTAGTGTTCTCGACGATTTCCTCGCCGTCTTTCGAGAACAGTTTTTGCGGCGGAGAATTGGCAGAGTTTGCGGTTTCCAGTCTAACATTGAGGGATGCTGCATTCGAAAAAAGTTCCTCGAGTGGAATATCATCGTCGTTGGTCATAGAATGCATCAAGACTTCCTGCTCGTCGGTATCCTCGGAGGAGCTCGATGCAGAAGTTCCTGAAAATCCGAGTGATATGTCCCGATTGGCACTGGACGAAGTTTCGGTCCCGGAAAAGGATCCTTTCTTCGTTTCGTTGTTTCCAGAAGCTCTGCTTTCCCATTGCTGCACCCTAGACATTGTACTACTTTCTCTGCTTTTCTCGGGCACCTTTTCCGGTTCGGGTGTCGGAGACGGATCTTCTTTCTTTTTTGTCTCTTTCTTTCGGGGTGGCGTTCTAGCTATTTTGCTTTGCATAATTTCCTGTGACTTCTCAAAGAAGGAGACCCTGTTCAAAACCGAGTCCATTTTCTTTGCAGTTAGCTCCTCAGAGGAGTCGTTATCGTCACCGTTGTTGTTAGGCATGGTTTCGATCTATGATGTTCAACTGTTTTACAGTATGGTCAACGGCTCAGAGGCTTTGGCAATATGTTGTTTTCAGAGTGCAAGGCGAACAGAAAGATAAGCTAGAAGCTGTGCGCTATTGAATTGGCAGACCGTACGGACGAACGTAACGATGTTGTGGGTTCATCTCACTTTGTGTTCCATCTGACCTGACTCCTGTTCGTGGTATTCTATTATTTGTTTCAGTGCTCGAATGTAAGACTTTTTACAGAATCCGGCGACGACAGGGGTAAGGGGTCTTATTTTCCGAATGAATCTTGTTTGTTTAAATGTGGTCGCCAAGATTTTTCCTATTGTGTCATGTGCTGGGAAATGGCCCACACGTTTCGAGCTTTGGATCAAGCGATTCTAATATTTATCGGGCGGTTTTAAAAAAAGTGCGAGTGAGTTGCAAGAACAGAGATAGTCTTACTGTGTGAGCCAGTAAAACGTAAATCACGAGTAGATAGTGAGTGAGCAAGAACGAAGGCAAGGGAGGGCGAGACAGGTCCGGAGTCGGTACAAATTGAACACTTTCTCTACAGAGGGAACAAGAGAGGGAACACTTCATTTGCCTTCGCGGTACTACGAATTAGTTTCTTTCTTCTTCTCTCTTTCATCAGCTGTTATGAGTGAAATGCTAATAAGCTTTCTAGTGTACCGTGATCGTGAGGTGGTTTCGTGATTGTTCGGTGCTTACTGTCTCACATTCTGAACATTTCAACGGAAATTAATACTTATCTTGTCCCAGAGCAAACCCTCGACAGTATCTAAAACAAGGTTTTAGTCGTCTTGGCGAACAATAGTATCAGCACTGCAATGGTTGGTTGTTCGATAAACGATTTCTCATTTTTCGACAGCTCGGGGAATCTTGTCCTGGGCGAATACAATGACGATGGAATATGCATCTTTGAAGAGGCGAATTGCAACCCAAGGTCTTCGCCACGCGAATGCTGTGCATACAATCCTGAATCGGCCAACGATGATGGGTTGGGGGGATGGGCAGACAAGTATTTACTACTTTGCCTCATGGTTCCGATGTTATACCTATATCAAGTTGTCAAAAAAAAAGCGGAATCACAAATCGACGAAGGTCGAACCAACGGGAAGGGAGAACCAGCGAGTTGCAACGATGTTTCCGAATCGATATCCTGTTGGAAAAAGCCGATCAAATTCATCCATTCGATGGGTTACTTGATATTTTCAATGATGATCGTTCCAGCGACAATCGTGACACGCAAATCCTACCAAGCAAATATGTCCGTCTCTCAAATGAACTTGTTAATGTCCGCCGAGGCATTCATGATTCCATTTGGTGAGATTTTTCAATGCATCGAGGATGTTGTCCTCGTGCAGATTGGCTATGCAATCGGTAGAAGCGACAAGCCTAGAACCGATCACTTGATCCACGTCGGGATCGCCGGGAGTATTGTTACTGGCACCGTTGCCGGTTTGATTGGGACGATCCTTGCACTATGGCCTTCGGCCTTCGCACTACTTACAAATCCAGGCCGAAAGCACGACCAGAGTCTCTATGAAGGCTGTGAATGGTTTGAAGGGAACGATGATTACGATCGATGGTTGATTTTGCCCTACTGGATGATGAAGTCCTGGGCTATGGTCTTTCAACAGATTGGAATGGTTTTGAGCGGCTTTTTCTTTGGCGCCAAGGCAATTGCCGGTGAGAAATCATCCGTCACATTGAACGATGTTTGTTCCTGAATTCACTTTTGGGTTGTTGTAATCACAACGTCAACTCTCATGTAATGCTGATGTTTCAAATTCTTTCACTTTCAACCCACAAACCGTGCAGATATAGGGTGGATATTACTGTTTTCTCTGACACTGACTCTATATATTTGGTTTTCCAATGTCGGAACCTGGTCGAATCCATTGACGCTGGTGGGAATCGCTGATATATCTGGGGATATCGTCTTGCCCGTCCTGGCTATCTCTTTTTTAGCCTCCCCGCTGGCATCTTCAATTCGCGAGCGAACCGGTTTGTCCCTGTCGGGGTCGAAAGTCATCGACAATCTTCGATGGCAGCCCACGAATGGATTTGCACCGGTTGTCAGTAAGAAAGTCGTTAGTGACAATGGTGAATTTTTCAGTAGAGAATCGACAAGTCTGATTGGTAACAGAAAGTCAGAGGAAAATAGCGCATTCGAAAGAAGCATTACTACAAACAACGAGGCCCCGAACGGCACAAACAACACGATGAAACTATTCGTCGAAGGTTTTAAGGTTATGTTCATGGACGTTGCCATTCAGGGCTGTACCAGTTTCACTTACTATGTTGCACTGAGGCAGGACAGCGAGGTGGCCTACCAAATTACTGCCCTTCAATCGGCCTTGCCCCAATACGGCTACGGCTACGCCGTCGGAATTTCAATCATCTTCAAGCTGACGGGATCGCAGCTTCTGGCCAAAGGAAAAAATAAGCTCTTCGTGGTCTTTGCCAAGATTTGCATCGTCTCAGTTCTGGCAATGATCCCTGCCATCGTCGCGGAGGTTCTCGAGGCGCGACATACCATCGCCCTTGAGTACGGATCGAATGCGTGTTCCTATGCACAGAATTCGAATTGCGTTCCGTTTTTTGAAGCAATTTTCGGACCGAATGCCAACGGGGGAGGATTCACTCTGCAGTATACCTTTACGGCCCTGGCTTTTGGTGCCGTCACGGATTCTGTCAGCCTCGTGCTGCGATCGGTCTTGCTAGCACTATTGGATTTTGATTTCTTGGTGAACAGCACCATCTGTGCCGTTGGAGTGTACATTCCCAGCATGTACGCAGCGACCTGTCTGGACACAATCTATAAGGGCCAGGCAATTTCGTACTACGTGGCAATGAACATGCCGCAGCTCGTTTTGATCCTGGTCCTGTTGGTGCGTCTGAAGTATAACTTTCGCAAAGTTTTAGATGGAGAAGAAGGACCATGGACAGAAACCTCACCTGAGGAACGAAGCAACGATGAACCAAGCTCTGAGCAAATAAGTTCCTCTTTCAGTTACAAGGAAGAGATGGGACCACTGATAAATTCAAAAAAGCGCAGAAGTAGTTTAGTTACAGTCTATGCATAAGATGAAGAATAAAACTCATGATKCCATTGTCAAAAACAGAAAAAGATTATCTAATCATAGGTCGTATCTTCGTCAAAGAGAAAAATTTTCTTAAAAGGTTGGAAAATAACTTAAATCTGTACAGGGGTGTTTCTTGCAGCAAAAGGTGTTGACCAGCTAGTTCTCATTATGGTAAACCATTTCAAAGCTCCTGAATCATTACATGGGATCCCAACTAAATCATTTTCTGAGCAATACTACCAGCAAGGACTACACCACTAAGTGTGTTCGAACTGAGGTGTTTTTGTCACTTCCTTGCCTAGCTGTCAAAATTATCAATGACAATCTGGCTCCCTTCTGCCCAATGACAACCAGACAGAACTGCTTAAAGAATGAGCTCTCAACACAGTAATCAAGCAGTCCCACTGATGGGAGCTTGTCTGCACTGAACTCCTTAGGCTACACTACTAATTCAATTCCTGGGTTTGACAACTGCTCAGCCAAAACTCTTATTTTTCACACATCCCAAAACTGAGTATGTATATCTTTGTAGAAGGAGCAAGCATTGCTGTATTGATGTGCTGCTGTTTTTTGACCCTTTCTTGCCAGACCCTCATACTACCACTGGTGTTTCCTGAATCTTAGTATATTTCTAATTACTGGCAGTAACAAAACATTAATGAAGCCTAACATCTTGTTTATTTTTTCAAAGTATTTACTTTAGTCTACAACACTAGTATATATGTATATATGTATATATGTATATATATCAGCTTTGCAATTGAGGTCAAGTAGAAATGTAGAAAGACTGAATGAAAAGATCTCTGGTAGCAATACCACCAAGAAAAATGATAGATAATCCTCATGATGATCCCCATGCAAAATGATTTTTTGCAACCAGTTGACCAATGATCTTCTTCATTGTTGTGTTTGCATTTGGTACATTGTTTGCAAGAAAAATGAAAGAAAATATGATCTCCATACTACCACCACCAAAAGAGACCTTGGAAGAAGACCCCCAGTATGTTAGATGAGAGATAACTTAGAACAAGAGTTTTTCCTCACCAATATTGCACAATCCATCATTTTTGTTGCTTGTTCTTTGCACTACAAAACAAGAAGGGACGACTGCCAGCATTCATCAACAATGGAGGCTCAACAAATATCATTGGTAAATCATAAAAAATATTTACTACTACTACTACCCATGCTACTAATACTGCTACTAGTACTGCTACCACTATTTATTGACCAACTACTATGAAGTATGCAATTAAATACCACACACATTTAGTAATACAAGAACAAGACATCTTGCTTTCAGTGTTACAATTGAAGTTCTTTGTTTGCAGAATTTTTTAGTCACATTACCATCTCCTTTACCACCAGTCAACTAAACCTGTGGGTTATAGTTGATCTGCTTCTCAAACCACTCACACCAGTGTTAAGAAAGAGACTGGACTAAATCTGTGCAGACTTGAGCAGTGGTGCAAATCATATCCAAGACAAGATTGAGATAAGGGAAAAAAGTTTTTTCTGCAGATTCATTTCAAAAGAAGCATGTACCAACAAAGAAGTCATTGTTTTGTTATTTGTGCTTACATCTTCTTTGTTTCCCTTGGTACTAGTGATGCATCGCTTCTGCTACATATTTGTCACTATATCTGATCAGATGCAGCCTTGCATGTGATGAGCACCAGTTTATCAAAGAGAAGGAAGAATGGTTTCCAGAAGATGAAGAACAAGTTGGAACATTCATGATGTTCTTCTTTTTGTCATTCTTTTTGCTGTCCTCCTCTTGTTGTTGTGGTGATGTAAAGAACATTGGAGGAATAACTTCTTCGACCATCACATGTGATGCATTTTGATTTGTAACATTAATATTTGCTTTTGTTACATTTTCTTCTAGTAATTTTTTGTGTGTTACTGTGTGTGAAACTGCTGGTGCCGTTTTTGTTGTTGTAGTACACTTGTTACATCCCATCACAAAAACTAAAAAAACTCCAACATCGCAAATTTAAATGAATTCTATGTTTAAATCTACTATTGCTTTGATCTCGGGCGAAAGTACCATTGGTGGCGTACACTATTGTTGATAACAAACTGGAATAACTAATCCTGGGCGTCTTCTTTGAAACCACCGCCGCTTTGGTAACCGACTAGGTGGTCGTCTTCGAGACCACAACAAATCCGCGATTCCCCGGGAGGCATATGCTTTGGATGGCCTTGGCAATCTCCGCAAAGCTCCGCTTCGTCCAATCGATGGACGGCGCACCATCGGCCGGAGCCACCATGGTCGAGCAGGTGTCGATCGTCGCGGCTCCGCCCCACAAGTCGTCCCACGGCACCCAGACCATGGGGTGCTTGTACTTGGCCACGTCCATCACCAGGAAGGAATCGGTTTCTTCGTGGTAGGCACCCAGCGGGCTCCAGTGGCCGTGTCCCATGGGACCCTGTCCGATCCCACCCCGGTCGTAGTTCAACAAGACCCGCGAAGAGGGGTCTCGGAGGGCGTCCACGACGACTTGCTTGAGCTCGGTCTTTCCCGTTTGCTGGGTGCCACTACCGGCGTGGTATCCGGTGGCGTGGTATCCGTTCGGTTCCAGGAAGCAGTTGGCAAAGCCCGGAAGGGTGCCCGTCCCGAGCCCGATGTGCCGAACGGCCCCTGCGTTGGATCTGCCGCCGAGGGCGGAAGCGACGCACGCCCCGTGGAGGCCGTCGTCCGCGTCCAGAATGTTCGACTGGGTGGCCCACGGAAAGGGCACGTACACCGGATCCAGCGGCAGCACAAAGTCTTTTCCGACGTCTCGGAGGGAATTCAGCATGGCCGCGGTGGTGGCGACGGCGCACAGGCTCTGCGTGATTTGCGCCTCCCAGCCCGACTGGTAGCGAAAAAAGTCGTCCCCGATGGGATCCAGACGAGAAAAGGCAATGGATTCGTTGAAGTACAGCAGGGGCGATTTCTTGGATTTGTCGACTGCTGCTCTGGTTGCCAATGGTTGGGAAGACACGGGAGCCAGCAGAGACACCTTTGCGGCTTCCGACAGATCGAAACCAGAATTTTTCGGATGGTTGGTCGACAACAAGAATTCCTCCCATTTGTAAACCATTTCGTCGTTCCAATAATGAGGGGCAGAAGGAACAGAAGGGAGAAGCGATCCCTGCCGGGATCCTGGGCCTCTTTGCTGCCAGGCACTTGCTATACAAACCAAAAGCCCTGCCGATGCGGCGCAAACCGCGGGAATTAGAAGGTATTTGTTGTGTTCTTTCGGTCGACGATGATTTCCCTTTTGGTGGTCGACTTCGCAACCGTTGTTTGAGCGCTGGACTGGAAGCAACGAAGCCCCTTCGGAAGATGCTTCTTGGAACGCCATGGTGATCAATTGGACGCACGATTCCCTGGTTTGGTTTCCGACCGATGCATTGAGTGCGGGGGTTGGTGCGATTTCTGAAGAAGGTGAAGTCGTCGCCGCCAAAGAATTGTAATTCGCAACACAACCACGGAAGTCGTTCCAAACCGTACCGAATGATGCGTCGAATGATGCGTCGCTAGCGTAATGTACGGAATGGTATGTACCAGTAATCGTACCGTACGGCATTGCCTATGCCCCGAGCCGAGGAACTGAGTTCGTTTTCGATCTTCCTGACAAGATTTTTTGATCGTCAAAGATTGATTCGATTGATTCGATTGATTCGAATTCTTCACTTCATCGAAGAAATGCGCTTTACAGTAAGGATAGCGTTAATATTTGTGGTCCTGGGTCCGATCGATCGGATGCGTGACACGTCACTTCCGAACGCGTTTGATGCAATTGCTTCTTGCACACCCACCCAATTACCCGATTAATCGTAGATGCATCAACTTTCCGAAACGTTTCTGGGGCAAAACATGCATGCACATCATCGTTGCCAAAAAGTCTGACACAACACGACACACACAGAATTGTTTTTCTTTCGCATCCACACGTAAGTAGCGTACTGTATGTCCCGTACGGTGCGTGTGGTATCTTTCCACACCGTTCAGGAATAATGTTGTTTCACGAACGACGGCTCGGTTGCCGTACGGTAGCATCGCAGCTGCTCTTTCCTCTTCTTCGATGCCGTCGGTCACCATCGTTGAGCATACAACACGGCAAAACACGATCGATTTCTTCTGATTCTCTCCGGCAATGAAACTCCGAATCGCGTCGTTCCTTTCCGTGGCTGCCGCCACCCACGCCTTCGTCGTCGATACCAAAACCAGCCAGCGCCACAATGGACACGTGCTGTATTCAACGACGGCAGCGACCCTCGGGTCTGCTCCGCCTACCGAAGCGGCAGAAACCTTCGGGACGGTGGTCGGAGACACGAGGGGCGCCGCCCTTCGACTGGAAAACGTGGCCATTTCACGGGGAGCAACGCCGCTTCTCAACAACATCAATTGGAGCATCCAACCCAACGAGCGCTGGGGAATCGTTGGGATCAACGGCGCCGGAAAATCGACGCTTCTGGGAGCCATCACGGGAACGGTCCGAATGGACGAGGGAAAGGCGCTCGTCCATTCCAACGTGAGGGTGGGATACCTGAGACAATCCGCCGTGAGCGGATCGACCAAAACCGTGGCCGAGGAAGCCCGGAGTGAAATGACGCACATCGAGGAGGCCAAGATCGAGCTCGAGGCCGCCACCAAGGTCGTGGAGGACGGAGATTATTCCGAAGAGGCGCTGGACAAGCTAGCAACCGCCCAGGAACACTTTGAAACGATCGGGGGCTATCAGCAGGAACAGATGGTCGACAGCGTCCTCAAGGGACTTGGATTCGAACCGGAGGACTCGGATCGCTTGTGCAGCGATTTCAGCGGGGGTTGGCAGATGCGGATCGCCCTGGCCCGCTTGCTTCTGTCCAAACCATCCTTGCTGCTCCTGGACGAACCTTCGAACCATCTGGATTCTTCTGCTAAGGATTGGTTGGGAAAGTACATCGCCAGTTACGACGGAAGCGTCGTTTTGGTATCGCACGATGTTTCTCTCTTGGATGTGAGCGTAAATTCCATTGCCGAAATCGCCGGAAACACGGTGGTCGAATACCGATCGTGTTCCTACAACAAGTATCTGGAGGAAAAGGAATTCCGCGCCGCCAGTGCACAGGCCGAATACGAACGGAACCTAGAGGAGGCCGCCCGGCTCCAGGCTTTTGTCGACAAGTTTGGGGCATCCGCTACCAAAGCCAAGAGCGCACAATCGAGAGTTAAAATGCTGGAGAAGATGAAAAAAGAGGGAAAGTTGGATCCGCCACCGGTAGCCGTTGTAGCCAGGGAGCGAGATCCCGAACTCGTCTTGCCGCCTCCGCCGAAACCCAACGGCGAATACCTCATGAAGATGAAGGATGCCACGATCGGGTACGATCCAAGCGAGCCCCCGCTTCTTAAAAACATCAACCTAAAAATTCCGAGGGGAATGAAGCTCTTGCTTCGAGGGCCCAACGGAGCCGGAAAATCCACCCTTCTCAAGGCCCTTCGGGGGAACGTGCCGGAGATGATCCAATCGGGAGAACGCGTCGAAAACGACCGACTCTTTCTAGGAACCTTCACCCAAGACCTGGCGCAGGAACTGGACCCGGATTCCCGCGCCGTTGATCTCGTCACGGACTACGCCCGTTCGGGGAGCGACGGAAACATCCGCGTGACKGACGAGGCCGCACGTGGCGTCCTCGGACGCCTTGGCTTGGGAGGAGAAAAACCCCTCCGAAAGGTATCCGCCCTGAGCGGAGGAGAAAAGGCCCGTGTGGCCCTGGGAATGTTCGCCCTGAAAGCCTCGAACCTGTTGATGCTGGACGAACCAAGCAATCATTTGGACGTTGGCTGCATCTCGGGCCTTGCCAAGGCACTGAGTGAATGGGGCGGCAAGGACGGAGCCATTGTGGTGATCAGCCACGACCGCAAGTTTTGTGAAAAGGTCGGATTTACCCACGTTGGAACTGTGATGGACGGAAAGCTTGTGTTGGAACAGCGATCCCTCCGAGACAGCGACTGGGACCAATACGATATCAACGCGGCTTCTAGGTCTCCAGCATAGTCAATGGAACGGAGCGAAGAATTTCGTAGTGGAGTAAAACTTTGTCACCACAAGAAGGAAGGCAACAATAAAATAGAGCAAATTTTTGTTAGAAGGTATTTTTCGAGGCCGATAGAATCAAACAGATCAATGCCTTACTCGAACCAGTTTTGACCAGTAGGTGCTGAGAGACAGTTTTAGAAGGTTCTCTATGTATTACTCGCATGGAAGATACTATTCGCAAATAAATATTCACTACTATTTCCGTACTTTCAAAAAACAACAGTGTCTGTACACGTTTCTGTGCTCTGAAAGTACGTACTCGTAAACACGGTTGTAAAAGATCGAGGTGCATCATGTCAGCATTCTCTTCCAGATTTCGTAAAAAGTTCCGGTACAGGGACTCGAACCCTGGTATCCTGCGTGAGAGGCAAGTATGCTAACCACCTACATCATACCGGAAACAACGAATTGCCTTGACTGTGAATCGAACACAGGACCTTCAGATCTTCAGTCTGACGCTCTCCCAACTGAGCTATCAAGGCAGTTTGTTGCTCGCGTCTCGCAATCTTCGATTTATATACTCAACAAGCGTTTGAATGCACTACTTCACACCAGATTATTTCTTGTAGTAGGCAATGATAACTTTTTCTGTGGGTTGAAAATAATATATTGTACAAGAAGTAGCAGAAGAATGTCTTTAAAAACTTCTTACTTTAGTCTAGTCACTTCTTGTGGTGTTTTTTCCTATGAAGGTGCTGCTGATACTAGTAGGGGGGTGTACTACTAGTACTACTGCTGCTGCTCCTGCTGCTCCTACTACTAGTAGTAGTAGTAGTAGTAGTAGTAGAAGTAGTACTGTTCTTGCTGATAGTATCAGTAGTACTAGCTATGACAAGCTGCTAACAGCACTAGTAGTCGTAGTAGTCCTAGCAGCAGCAGCAGCACAGCTACTTAAGTAGTACAGTACTTTATTTCTACGTTAAATCTACCGGAAAAGTACTCGTATACGAAGTAAGAGATGAACATATTTAGTTAGTTGGAGTAGTATTGGGTACCAGTTAATCGGTAATAAAATGCGTTAACCGTAAGAACCCTACCGCACTCTACTTGAAAAAAAGTAATTTTACTCCAAGGGATTTACCCAGAGAATTTTACTAGTAAGAATCACGTTTAATTTTGTTAATTTTGAAGCCCAGTATTTAGTACTGATCCTACATAGATCTACTACTATTCGGTCAGTTTTTCCACCACAAAGAGCCCAATACGGTAAAATAAGCTAAACACAACAGCTCCGAAAAGGCCTCTAATGAGATCACCTYTGGGGATATGCTCGGTCATAGTGTTAAGAAGAGTGCTGTGTGTCATTGTTACATGATTAGGGACCAGGGTGGAGCCGGTTCTCCATTAACAGCTGGTATGGCCWAATTTGGCCAKTGGAGACMGGCTACTGGTTAGAAAATAGGCCAGAACTCTATCAAAAAACAACTTTAGACCACCAGACTAAGCGCCCAGACCAAGTTGATACAATTACTTAAAGATCCAGGTCATTGGGATTCCAAAGGATGCTCTAGCGGCTTAGAGCTAGTCAGCCAAAGTTACAGTAGTGATGTGGCCCAAAATCGTTAATTCTAGGTGTAATTTTATTACCGATTAACTTGTACAATAGCTTAACTTTTTCCCGTCGCGTGTTGCCAAATGTTGCCACCTGGATTTTTTTTTTTTTTTTTGATACTACTACTCAACTACTACTCCACTTATCACACCCCTCTCATCACTACAAACAATATTATAAGAATATATTTTAACATATATAAATATATTCTTTATATATTACATCACTATACTTGATGGTTGAAGTTACTCCAATGCT